ACAAGCATGGAAAAGATGGGGGGGGGACAAATATAATTTGTGCCAAAGAAACTGCTGGTGCTCTTCTTATTTCATTGCTTGCCTAAATAGAATTCTGGCTCTACCCACAGGTGAGTAGGTGAGATCCAGGTTATGCCACTTCTATCTACAGAAAAACAAACGGATACCTCATCCTGTAGGTACCGCAGGGAGCCTGAAAATTCACCAGAATCTCATTACTTGCCCTTCAGATTGGAACATTCCCTTTGCTATGTGGATCCTAATGTACCTCTAGCTGTTATGCCAATACAAGGTGAAAGGCTAGTTTTTTATGTGTGCGTGACAGGTATTTTAAATATAGTGAGTCATTTAATCCCCCTAAAACCCTATATGTGGATAGCATTATCCAAGGTGACAGTAAGTAGGTGATACAACCAGGATGTACTTAACGATGACTCTAAGGGCAGCACTCGCTTCGCCAGAAGGGCTTGCCTTGCAATCTGACACGTTTGAAGTCATTAATATAACCTAGACTAGCAGTTTCGTGAAGTGTGGTCCGCAGACCCCTGCAATCATAATCACTGTTGGTCTCTGTGAAAAATTCAGTCTTGCTCAAGACAGAAGGAATCAGCAGGTGGCGGGGGTAGTAATTCTGTCGTGGGGCACCCGAGGAAGGAGAAGATTCATATGCCTGAGGACCACACGCATAGACTACGGGCACTGTCGAAAAGACACCAGTATTCCGCCCTAGCTGACTTCAGTCCTGCTTGGCAGTCTAACCAAATCGGGTCCCAGGGTTGTCCGGTACCCCGCAGGCCAGACCCGCACTGACCCCGTGCTTCTGAACGCGGGGCGGAGCTACCTAAGACTCCGCCCTCTCCGAACCAGCCATAGCCAGGCTGCTGCTCTCCCGAAACAAATTCATTCCCGACGCGCCCTTCCCCGGTGCGGGGCCCCGCCCCCGACGCGCGGACCAATCAGACGGCAGGTTGCTGAAGCTCGCGGCCAATGCCTGGGGCCGTCTTTACTTCCTCTTTGCAGTTTGAAACTGTCGGGTTGCTGCTGGGGAAGCTGCCGGACTCGCTGTTGTTGCAGCGGCGACGAGGGGAGAAGACGCGGAGAGGGGAGTTGGGGTTTGCAGAGCGCCTGGGCGGTGGGTAAGCGGCGCCCCTGGCGGAGGCTCTGGAGTGGGGGTTAAATAGCCCCGGCCGGGTTTGCAGCCCCTGGGGATCGGACACGACAGGGTTGGGGGCATCTTCGGGAAAGTAGGGCCCTTGAGCTGCTCTGCGGGACGGAGAGATCGAGAGGTTTCCCCTCCTCGGCGTCGGGGAAGAGAGGGCAGGAAGGAAAGTTGCCTGAAGTGTAATAACGGTATTGCAGCTGTAGGTTCGGGCCATTTAAGACGTATGGGGTAAAATGACCGTGTGTGACCCTTTGTTGTTTTTAAGTAACATTTTGATGTGACGCGGAGGTGAGAGAACTTGTAGCCCTGTGCTTGCTCGCAGCTGCTTCTTCCTCTGCTGTAGTCCGTGGCGTGGGGAGGGGCTGGCGCACCCCCTTTCCTAGCCTGCAGGTAGGACAGGTCAAGGGCGCAGGGACGTCACCCAGCTGCCAGCTCGCACGGTAACTCACTGTTCCAGTGCCTCTTGGGGGTTAATTTGAATTCTTGGACCCTGCTTCCCTTAACAGCCAGGTAATTACCAAGATCTAATTTGACTTCTTTGGCCATAGACAAGCGCTCAGAACTTTTTATGTCGTGATTTCTGAGATCTTGGTTTAGAGAATTCTGAAAATTTGATTATCTGATGTGCATCTGCTTTCCATCAAAGCAAGTTTCATTTTTCTCCTTTGTCTCAGAACTAGAAACAATAAGGAAAATGCTACTGTTGTAGGGTTTTAGATAAATTGTCAGACTTTGATGTCATCAAAGCAGGGCAGATGGAAGATTTATAGCATATTTTCTAAAAGTACAGTGTTTGTTTTGTGTCTGCGGTATATATATTAAGAAACTCTTTTTGAGATGTGACCCCCAATCCCAACCCCCGTATTACCAGTACCCCCAATCCCAGCCCCCCTTATTACCAATCTTCAAACACATCCTAAAGGAAGAACTGAATGGAAATAGAAAGGGCAAAGTTACCACAGTGGTGGATTTGAGTCCCTTAAAGCAGCCTTCCTTCTGCAGATGCATGTGCTTATTTTATCCTCCCTAATTGGCTTAACTAAAGTCACTCATGCTGAGATTTAGTTTACTTATCTTGTGTCTACACAGTAATGCTCACTGCATACAGTTAACATTTCCTTTCCATAGTCTAGCCTCAGTCTGTGTTTCCATTCTAATGCTGCACTTCTACCTGGATCTGCCCTTTCTCCTTCAATTTCTTCATCTGGTAATTTTCAGCCTACTTGATTAAGACTTGTTTTACTTTCCGCTGAAATTGTCCAGGCAAATGCCCCAGCAACTTCTGATTGCCAAACTCAAGGGATTCTGTCAGATTCTCATCTTCCCTTGGTGTCTGTCCCTGACCACTCCCTCCTGGAGGTTCCTGTGATGCTGTTCTCAGGGTTCTACTGTTCTGACTTCCTTTTCCATCATTTTTGGTTCCTCTTCACTTACCCTTTAAATATTAGCAGTTCTGATTTTAACTCTCCTCTTGTTACAGTGGTGGTGGTGTAATCACTAAGTCATGTCCCACTCTTGCGACCCCATGGAGCCCGCCAGGCTCCTCTGTCCATGGCATTTTCCAGACAAGAATACTGGAGTGGGTTGCCATTTCCTTCTCCAGGCATCTTCCTGACCCAGGGATTGAACCCAGGTCTTCTGCATTTCAGGTGGATTCTTTGCTGAGTGAACCACAAGGGAAGCCCAGCCCAGCTACAGTAGTGGTCCTTAACTTTACTAAGGCTATAGTACCCTCTGGACACATATTGGAAGATGAAGAGCCTCTTCCTAGAAAAATATGCATGTGCTAAAAATACTGCACATGGTTTGGGTCTAGGGACCTCAGAATAAGAACTCACACTTCTTTTCCTAGGTGATCTTAACCTCTCCCTTTTATCAGCAGTTCCCATTATGCTGATTCCTCAAAATGAATTCCCAAACCTTTACCTCCAGTGCAGGGCTTCCACTTTGCTTAACCCCAAGAAGCACCTTTCACCTTGTAGCCATTGTGGACGGCAGTATTTGGACTTGTGCACTGAATAACTGGCATGGTCAGATACTCCATACTTGCAGCCTCACTTCAGTGCCTTAGAGTCACCTCACCCCAGGAAGTCTGATGATGAGACCATATTACCCTTCCCCCAGTCTACTTACCTTCCTGTATTCCTTGCCTTGGGGAGTATCACCACCATCCATCATTGCCAGCTAGAAATCTGGACCAGAGCAGCAGTTCTTCCCTTTAACCCCTTAACCGATTGTTGATCACAGTCTCAAATTTCCACTGCCAGAGCGCAACTTGAAGTCATACCTCTGACCCCATTTATCTCCTCCATTACTGCCAGAAGGAACATATATCTCTTGGACTACTGCAGTTGGCTCTCAATTGCTCTCTCTTTCATATCCCACCTCTCAAATCCATCCTGAAAGCTGCCAGAGTGATCTTTCTAAAAGACAAGCCTGATCATCTTATCACTTGTTTAATTAAGACTTTAATAACTTCTTTTAGAAAAAAGATGAAACTTTTTAACATGATGTAATTGTGATCTTCCATGATCTGGCAGCTCCTCACTTTGCCTGTTTCATCCTTAGCCAAACCCTGATCTGTGCCCTTTGCTCCAGCATCACGAAATTCTTGCAGTTCCTGGCATATGTGTCTGCATCTCTTTGTCTTTGCTTACACTGCACTGTTGCCTCACATATCCTGTATCTTTTATCTGTCTTTCAGGTCTCAACACCCCAATCGGCTGTTCCCGTTTCTTCACACCCTCCCCATCCTACCCCATGAAAAAGGCTACTCCAACCTTTCTACTTTGTGCCTCTGTTGTTTTAGGATCTAACAGCACTTTTTTCAAAAGTAATTACTACTGTATGCATGCAGAGAAGGCACTGGTGACCCACTCTAATACTCTTGCCTGGAAAATCCCATGGACGGAGGAGCCTGGTAGGCTGCAGTCCATGGGTCTCTAAGAGTTGGACACGACTGAGCGACTTCACTTTCACTTTTCACTTTCATGCACTGGAGAAGGAAATGGCAACCCACTCCAGTGTTCTTGCCTGGAGAATCCAAGGGACGGGGGAGCCTGGTGGGCTGCCGTCTGTGGGGCCGCACAGAGTCGGACACGGCTGAAGCGACTTAGCAGCAGCAGCAGCAGCATATGCATGTCTAGCCCTTCTTTAGATTGCAGAGACCTTGAGGACAAGGACTGCTTCACCTTAACTTTCTCCCCAGGTCTTGCATATAACTGGTATTCAGATCATTTTGAATAGTCACTATTTGCCTTTTAAGTAATTTATGTACTTGTCATTAAAAGTACTTATATTGTGACTTATTTTTTGGTTAAGATCTTAAACAGTATTTCTTTGCATGGTATTAGAATTTGTTGTTCTGTATAATCTTGCTTTTCTTAAAAGAGTATTCCCAAAAGGTCAGTTCCCCAAGCAGAGAATTTACACAAATTATTCCTTCTCTCTTGGTTCCGTGTCTCATAGGAGAAGACACAGCAGCCAGGTGCTCAAACGTTGTTGAATGGCAGTCACTCTCTCTTAGCCCACGCTGTGGCTTTTTCTGAGGAGCTTCCACTTTCCTTTAGTCTTTCATGTATTTACCTCATCTCCTTGACCACATCATAAGCTCACTACTTGGGAGCTGAGTATTTTTTTCTTACCCAGTGATTTTTGTCTGTGGGTGTTCATTATGTTGAATGATTTTAACATGTTGAATGATTATTGTTTCCAGGATAGGATGTTATTACACACAAACACACACACACCCATATGTATAAAGCATTTTATTTTAGTTTAAATATTGCAAAAAAATAAACTAAAGTTAGCTTTTACTGTTTTATAGAATTTATACAGAATGTCATCAGACGGAGAGATATGCTCACCTCCGGTTCTGCAAAAAGACTCCGACCGAGACAGTTCTGTCTCCTCAGATCTTCAGGTAGGAAGACATGTCTAAATTTACTATAACTCACTTATTTCAAGTACATGACAGTATGAGGGAAAACTGGGAATACATTTTTCGTTCATTCATGCCATTTACATTTATAAGTATAATATGTTTATAATGTGTGTAAAATTATAATAATATCAAATGTTGGGAATTATTTTACACACTTGGAAAAATACCTTGCATTGTTTTAATTAACCTTTCAGAAAATAATCATGAGCTCTTCTAGCATTCTCTGTACCAAAGCTCCAAACAGTACAATGAGAGGAGAAGCTGAAAATCTGAAGAAACACTTTTCTGTTGACATTTTCTCTTTGTAGCTCTCTCTCATGAATGTTGCTTTCACTTTAATGCAAATCAGTCTGCTGTGGAAACTATCCAGAGGTCTGGGGCCCTAGACGCCCCCGTGTTCCACTCTTGGTTCTGGCCCCTGCTGCCGCACCACTGAGCTGCTGGTGCCCAGGAGCTGGGCAGTGACAGGTACCCCGGCCGTGCAAGGTGTAGCTCTTATATGAAATGTTTTAAATCTCTTTCAATTCTAAATGTTTTTTGTCATCAAAAATATGAATTAAGACTTCTAGAGGAGATTTTGAATGAGAGAATACTTGACATGGTGTATCTTGGGTTTTTTTCCCTCTTAAGAGGGGCAAAGCTGGGTAGTATGTTTATGCCTAAGGAGAGTAAGTGGCTGTTGACACCGCAGTAGATGACAGAAGCTTTAGGGAAATATTTTATGAAACAAATGTGTCCCTTTAATTGATATTACAGGTTCAGGAATTGGGAAGCCGTGAGTCTTTACTAGGGTAAGAGTGGTCTGGAATTACGGCGTAGATGTTTCATCCTCGCCTTCCCTTTGAATGGTACCTCTCCCATTTCGTGCTTTCTTTTTAGGTGACAGTGCTTTACTGCATCCTTCATCTTTTCTGTGTTCCAACTTCTTCAAAAGAGAACAGTTTAACTTAGGTATACCAGTGATACTGTGATTTATAATTAAAATATTTGGCCTTCATCCCATTTCTGGCATAGAGCTCCTAAAAATATTGGAATTTCCCAACTAGTGAGGAAATGAAGGGATCTTTTGTTACATTGATGATGTGACTTTTAGACTTCACCCAAGGATGAAGACTGGTTGCTAGGAGAAAGCCAACCACGTGAGTAGCTGGTTGGAACTTTCAGTCACACACACTGCCCCACCTTGAGGGAGGGGAGAGGGCCTGGAAGTTGAATCAGTCGCCAGTGGTCATTGATTTAATCAATTGTGCCTATTTAATAAAGCCCTATAAAAACCCAAAAGGACTGGGTTTCGGGAACTTCCCGCGGGAGAACACATGGAAGTGTGGGGTGACTGGCCTGTCGGGTGAGGGCATGGAAGCGCCATGCCCCTTCCCCAAACCTTGCCCTGTATATCCCTTCCCCCTGGCTGTTCCTGGAGTCCCGCCTTTTATAATAAACTGGTGATCTAGTAAGTGTTATGTTTCTCTGAGTACTGTGAGCCCTCTAGCAAATTAGTCAAACCCACAGAGGGGGTCTTTGGAACCTCTGGTCCGTAGCTGGTTGGTCTGAGGCACAGGTGATAACCTGGACTTGCGACTGGCATCTGAAGTGTGGGGCAGGGAGGGCAGTCATGGGACTGACCCTCCACCTGCGCAATCTGATGCCGGCTCTGCTGGAAAGGGTCGGAACTGAGACACCCACGTGGTGTCAGAATTGCTTACAAATCACGCTTTGTAATTGTTGGGTCCAGAACCCTTATAACACCTTATAAGATGAACACCTTGTAAGATCTCATGTTGTCATTTTTGTCAAGAAACAAAGCTTTATGTCAAAGGAAATCTCTAGAGTAGAATTTTAAGAGATGGGGGGGGGAAGAATCTTTTCAACATGCCAGAAATCATTCTGTGTTATTGGTTACCTGTGCTTAGAATGCCACCCTAACTGAGATTCTGATTTTAGTAACCCTCAACTTATGACCCTACTGGTCCTTGACAACAGTTGAAAGCCTGCCCATATTCCATTACTGAAAACATTAAAAAATATAAATCCTGAAAATAATGTGTAAGATAACATAAAGTGACTATATACTTTGACATATATGGTAAATATTTAACATCACACACTTAGTACAAAAGCCCCTCATAAGTCAGTATTCCCCTTGAGGGCGTTTCATTACTATTCCCAACGTGTGAATTCTTCATAGAACCATTGATGATGGATGCTGAAGGCTGGGCAGCATCCATAGCACTCACTCTCTTACAATCTCCTCTAATTACAATCTCCTCTAATCACAACTCCGAAGTATCAGCCCGTTGCCCTGACCACTCTTGGCATGCATGGGTTCAGCTGTGTTTCAGGGTCATATCAGTCCAGCGACTGAGAGGGGAGGCAGAATGACAAGTTTGGGTCATTACTTTAGGATTCTTTTTTACCTTAAGGCAGGTTATCTCTGACAGTTAAGAAGATATTACTGAGCTCAGCTCCGTGCTCTGTGATGACCTAGAGGGGTGGAATAGAGGGGTGGGGTGGGAGGGAGGCTTCCGAGTGAGGGGATGTATGTGTTCCTATGCCGATGCTGTTTCCTTACAGCATTGGAAAGCAATGTACTCCGATTTTGGACACAGTCAGAGAGAGCAGACTTATGGACATGGGGCTGGGGGAGGGAAGGAAGGAGAGGGTGGGTTGTATGAAGGAGTGACTTGGAAATATACGTCACCACATGTGAAATAGACAGGCAAATGGGATTTTGCTGTATGGCTCAGGAGCTCAAATTGGAGCTCTGTAAGGACCTCGAGAGGTGGGATGGGCAGGGAGGCGGGAAGGAGGTTTAAGGGGGAGGGGACATGGGTATACCTGTGTCTAATTCCTGTTGATGTTTGGCAGAAACCAACACAATACTGTAAAGCAATTAACCTTCAATTAAAAATAAGTAAATTCTTAAAAATAAAAAAAAAATTATACTCCAATTTTTTTAAAAGGTACGAAAAAGAAAGATGATATTATTTTTACCCTAAACTAAAAAATAACCCATTTGGCCTGTGTCTGCATATATGAAATGTAAATAATTGTTTAAATGACTAATTTTTCCATCTTTTTTCTCTAAAGTAAGTTAAAATATATATGTATACTGAACACTATTAATGTATACGTATTTACATCCCCTTTAACTCATACTGATTGTTGTGAGAACTTAGAAATATGTGTTTGGATCTTTCTCCCTTTTCTGAGGTCAAACTAGGGAAGCCACGAGTTAGTCATTGACTGTCCCTTCCCTTCCATTCCTGGAGCACAATTTATTCCAGAGCAGAGCTGATGTGGCTACCTCTAGTTGTTATTGCCTCCAGAGGAAGTAGGTTCTAAAAAGTTAATTGATAGCAAAATACTTGGGTGTGTTTAGTTAAATATTCTTACTCACAGAAACCCATAGGGAAATAATACGGTTGCTAATTTTCAAACACCTATACTGTATCATAATGTTCTTATTAAAGGTAGGGCTCTTTCTTTGATTTAGACAATTGCTGTTAATTCAATTTAGCACATTTCAAGGAGGTAATTTGAGGCATCACTTAGCTCTTCATCCTGATGGTGAGTCAAATAATAAGACACTTATGACTAATGAAATGCTGATAATGGAATTTTCTGTATCTGAACTTTTTATGGAGAAAAATTAATATTAAATAATAGTTTAGAGCAAGACACTTCATATGCCTTTAAACCTTCCCCCAAATTTTAACACAAAGACGTTCTCTAGGTCCATGCCATAAGACTCTTAGAGGGGCTTTAGCTAGCTGCATGCTGCAACTAAAAATCCTGCATGCCACAACTAAGACCCAACACAGCCAAAATAAATGAATTAATTTAAAAAAAAAAGACTCTTAGAAGTCCTTAATAGGAATATATGTTGCCTCAGTGACCAGCCCCTTTTGAACAGAGACTTAAGTTCCAGTACTGATAGAATTTTTTTGATTTGGCTAAATAAATATGTCTCTGTGTCAGGAAATTCCTTTTTTTTTTTAACCTTGAGGCATATTCCTGTAAGGCCTACACTTGGTGACCTGCCATGTTTTCATCCTCTTTTCTCATGTTGCCAGCAGGTAGAACTGAACAGGTTGGCATCCGTGTTTTCTTTTTCACTTTATTATTCTTTCTCTTCCAGCATTTCTCTTACACTCTTTCCATGTTTGTATATGAAGAGACTCAGAGTGGTTATAGAACTGGGTGGGGCAGGGGGCAACAAGAGCAAAAGCTACTTTTCATCCCTAGACCTTCCCACTGTTGAGTCTTTGGGAGCAGCATCGTGGAACTAAGTTCCAAACAGGCGGCGACGTGACTGGGTCTTTTTCTCACCTGCAAGCAGTTGCCAGTTGAGAGAAGGTTCTTCTGTTATAGATGCTGATAGGCTCCAGGAAAGTGCCCCAGGTAATCTTTGTGTCACTGTTTTAAATGGACATGCTGAAGGAATATGGGTACTAAAGCTTTATCACCAGAAGAAATTGGGGTAGGTCTATTTATTGCATTTTCTTGCTTGTTTTTAAGAAATTTCATTTTCTACGAGAGAGTAAGTAAATGACGAATGAAAAACATAAATCCCAAGTACCCATTTCTTTCTATTGTTTGGGCATACTGTTTTGGAAACTGAAGTAGAGAACATCTTTGTGACCATTCCTTTACCAGAATGTCCATTGTGACAGGGATATACTGTGTTATTTTTTGTTGGCTTTTCACAGGAAGAGTATGAAGAACTGCTTCGTTACGCTGTAGTGACTCCAAATACTGAAGCAGGTGCTTCACAGCTGTCTCATTCAAAGGGAGAAGCAGTGCCAGATGTTAAAATTCCTACTATAATTGATGATATTCTTCAAAATCCAGGTTATGTATATTTTTCGAGATGTCCCTTAATTTAATATGTTACTGAACTTTTTAATTCTGTTGACTTATGATAGTGAAAACACTTCTCTAGTGTTTCTTCTCATCAGCATTGTATATCTGTCATCTCGGGGAGAGTTTACATTTTAATATGTTTTTCTTGGCTCTTATATGACAGTTGAATTTTTATTTGAACTTCATTTGACTATTTTATGAAAAATCATAAAATTAAAGCAAACGCTGTGGCAATTATATGTCTCTTAGTGAAATGTGTTGCATCTCTTTCAATACAATGGTTTTATGCCAAGAAACATTGGAAATGAAATGCCCAAGTCCCCAAATTAGAGATAGTCTATAGATAGCCCTCAGAACCCCTTAAGTTCATAATCATGTGCTCGGACTTTATCAGCAGTATTTATCTGGGCCTGGAGGGCTGTCTGGATTGTCACCACGAAGACGGACCCACCTGGGAACTGTGTTGCCGACAGAACTGAGAACTAATACAAACCAGGATGTGTATTGATAGATGAGTGAGTGAAAGGTGGAGAAAGGAGGATGAAGCTCCTTTTACTCTCTGTTCCTTATTCAGTACAAGATCCCAAACAGCTCGCTCAAAATGAGTGTTCTTTCCAGGGGCACAGACCACCCCCAGGATCGGCCCTGATAACGGGCCGTTATTAGCAGCAAGTAAACCCCAAAGACCCTCCTCCGAGCGGCAGCCAGCCCAGCCTCAGGCTCTTAGGCACCTCGGGGGCCACAGCCCTGGGTCTGTCGTTCTCTCCCTCCGTAGACGTGGAGTTTCGTTGCTTCTAGCCTACAGCACTGGATCAATAAACAGATCCAGAACCTCAAAACATGTGTATTTCTTCTAACACTGAAACGTACTAGCACTAAGCAGTTTCTGCCCAAATTTTGTTGATCTTCAAAAGATAAGACCTTTGGATTTATTCATTCACTATGAGTGATCTTGACATGTTTTAATTACATGCACTTTCTACTGAGCCTACCCAAACCCAAACACTCTCCTACAGCAATCACTTGGGGCTTTCCAGGCAGCTCAGTGGTAAAAGAATTCGCCTGCCCATGCAGGAGACATGAGTGCAATCCCTGGGTCGGGAAGTCCCCTAGAGGAGGGAATGACAACCCACTCCCATATTCTTGCTCGAAAAATCCCATGGACAGAGGAGCCTGGCCGGCTGCAGTCCATGGGGTTGCAAAGAGTCGGACATGACTTGAATCCACATGCACATGCAGGCAGTCTTTAGGACCTAAGGATGCTGGTCTTTTCTAGCATCTACAGTATAGTCAAGGCTGTGTTTTTTCCAGTAGTCATGATGGATGTAAGAGCTGGACCATAAAGAAAGCTGATCGCCAAAGAATTGATGCTTTTAAACTGTGGTGTTGGGGAAGACTCTTGAGAGTCCCTTGGACTTCCAAGGAGACCAAACCAGTCAATCCTAAAAGAAATCAACCCTGAATATTCATTAGAAGGACTGATGCTGAAACTGAAGCTCCAGTACTTTGGCCACCTGATGTGAAGAGCTGACTAATTAGAAAAGACCCTGATGCTGACAAAGATTGAAGGCAGGAGGAAAGGGGATGATAGAGGATGAGATGATTGGATGGCATCACTGACTCAATGAACATGAGTTTGAGCAAGCTCTGGGAGATGGTGAAGGACAGGGAAGCTGGTGTGCTGTAGTCCATGAGGTCGCAAAGAGTTGGACAGGACTGAGTGACTAAACAACAACAATGATAGTATTTGCTTATGCTCTGCCCTTTCCAAAAAGTGTTTGAGATCAACATGCCTAACATTCAGTGAATTTAGACATTCTTATCCATACATAGACTTAGAGTGAACTTCGTAAATTTATCACCCCATTCTCTTTACTTGTGGTATTGCCATTGCTTGGTGTAAAGAAGGTTGTGTTGAAGCTGGCAAAGTATCTAAGCCTCTCACAAAGCCATCCTTGTGAGGTTCTTTTCCAGTTTCCTTTTTGCCATGTATTGACTAAAGGTTTCTGAGGTAGAAGTAAAGAAGTCCCCATTTGGAGGGAACCAGTGTCACTTAAGTTTTAGTAGAGCTAGTGAAAAGCAGCAGGCCCTAGAAATGTCCAGTGCTGTAGGACATGACATTTCATTTATACTACATCAGTATGAACTGAATGCCACTAGTAAGCTGAAGTCTTTTTCATCCATATTTGTTGGGTGAATTAAACTTATTAATGATGCAGTAAGACATTTTCAAGTCTCACAGTTTTTCCTTCCTTCTTATTCTTTGTCTTAGTGTTCCTGTCCCTAGCCTACTGTATTTTCCTTGTTCTAAAATCTTACTTATGCACAGCTACCTTCTTCAATTAGGTATGTGTGATTACGTATTTTATATAAGACTGATTAGGTTTAATTAAAAGAAAAACCTGTTTCTTTTCATCAGGAAATAGCCCTGCATTGAGAAAAACAAGGATGGAAGTTGGAAAAGGATGTGATTTAAATACTTCAGTTCATACAAAGACAGATGGTATGACTTTTCCTTAGCTTGTTTTTGTTAATGTACAACATTTTGTGCTTTGGTGAATATTATCCAGGTAGTAAGGGGAATAATTTCAGCATATTACTTACTGCAAGGATTTTTAAATGCTACTATGGGTAATTTGTTAAGCAGTACTTTTGAAAATAATTGTATAAGATGCTCAGTACCCTTAAGACAGATTTAATGCATTATAATGTGTGGCAGTTTTTCTTAAAACTGCTGGATTAGAGCACAGATTAGATTACTCCAACTTTTCTTTTTTTCTAGGGTCATCACCAGCATCCCCAAGGAAGCCGCCTCACCCGGTCATGGATTTTTTCAGTTCAAATCTTTTAGTTGACTCTTCCTCACCAGGGTCTAATTCCAGTCCTATCGATGCCCATGAAATAATTGTGACTGATTTTGTTGTTTCTGATGAAAACCTTCAAAAGATGGAAAATGTGCTTGATCTCTGGAGTTCAGGTCTTAAGGTATTACAGTTGTTTAATATGTAATGTAGCAGTTTTCCTCGACTCCACTGTTTATTCTTCATTTCTTTGAATTAAAAAGTTAAAAACAAAACAAACTGTAGTTGCCAAAGTTCAGCCCAGTGTTGTAAATCTGGGCTTCTTGGTCGTTACTGCCCGTATGAATCACCTGGGGGTTCTGATAAACTGCAACTTCTTAGTCAGTCCTGGTCCAAGATGGAGCACTGCTAATAAGCTCCCAGGTGACGGTTCAGAAGCCATACTTGGAATAGCACAGTTTTGGATAGTTGCTGGAACAGGTCTGCATACTCCACTGAACTTCTCCACTATTTTGAATGGCTCAGCCCGTGTGTGACCGCGAGAGACACTTGCTGAACCTTTCCTACATCATGCCTGTGACTAGCGGAATTGTCTCGTTTTATATGAAGCATAAGATCCAATCTTAGCAACATGTATTCATTTTATAGCCACTTATAGCAACCACAGGGTATAACTGATAAATTGATAAGAATTTTTTTTTTTTTGGTGATGTTAGTGATCCCTAAGTAAAACAAAGTATTCCAGAAATGGCCGTTTTTCTGCAGCTTAAAATATAGTGGAGAAGACGACAGTTTTTCTGAAACATAGTTTGAGAAAACTAAACTGAGTATTCACATACACGGAGAAATTATGGTCATCAGAGTTTTGTGGCATCCATATTTTCTCCAATATTTGAAACCTTAAATTCTAGAAGTGATCTTTTAGTATAATTTTTCTCCATGGAACAGGTTTCATGCTTCTAACCATGGTGTAAGTCCACTAAGGTAGTATACCACCAACCATTTAAAGACTGTCGTATGTTCAGTTAACCCTACTGTTATCCCTGCTGTTTTTTGGATAACGTGATTATTTGGTCTTTTTGCTTATGCCCGTCAGTAGGGTAAAAATCAGTCTTAGCAATTCATTGTAAGGTGCCCATTGTGATCAATGATTTGGAGGAAGAAAGCATCAACTCTGATGGTTTCTACTGTTCATCTCTGTCTAGATACCATCCCAGTCCAGTGGCTTGACCTCAGGCATGGTCCTGCATTTCCTTTTTCTCTTATCCACCTTAATACAGATATTTAAGTCCTTGACTTTATCTGTCCTATTTAGTAATGAATGAGACCTAAAAAATTTTAATGACACTTTAGTTCAGTTCAGTTCAGTTGCTCAGTCGTGTCCGACTCTTTGCAACCGCATGGACCACAGCACGCCAGGCCTCCCTGTCCATCACCAACTCCCGGAGTTTACCCAAACTCATGTCCATTGAGCCAGTGATGCCATTCAAGATTTCATAAATGTAACTTAAAATGGGAGAAAAAAGTATGTACTTAGCATGGTATGTGAACTAAGAAGAACTGTGGCTTGCTGAACATACAAACGTTTTCATTGGTGGATGTTTGTTTTAATAGCTCTTATGTTGAATACTTGCTTTGAGTTTTTTAATTTTTTTTCTTAATTTTGGTGTCATTTTATGAAGCAGCATTAAGGAGCAAACTACTTAATTGTCAGCATATTTATTTTTCAGACAAACATCATATCTGAACTAAGTAAATGGAGACTGAATTTTATTGACTGGCACCGAATGGAAATGAAAAAAGAGAGAGAGAAACATGCAGCAGATTTCAAACAACTGTGCAGCCAGATCAGCAGCTTGAAGGAGCTGCAGAAAACCTATGAAGTCTCCATTGGGAGAAAAGATGAGGTCTTCTTTTTCATACTGCTTTTTAAGTGAGAGTCAGTAAATGTCTTGTTAGGTAATAAATGCCAGGAACTGAGTGTTTAGATCGTACCAGATACAAAGGGAAGCTCACTTCTGAAACTAGTAAGAAAGTAGATGCATAGAAATAAGCTTTATTCTTCACATTAACTGTGCTAGGACCATGTCATTTTCTCTTGGTCACCACGTTCAGTGTGCTGTAAGAGTGCTATATTGAGTGTGGGAACACTCTTTTTTTCTTTCCCATCTTTTCTTCCTAACTGCCCTAAAGAGAATGTCAGGGATACAGCATTACCCACATTTTAAACCACCCTTTTGGAGGGGTATAGATATCCCACATTCTATCTGTGATATGTCTTTATCCATTCATGAAGTCCTTTCTTCATTATCTTGATAAGCACGAGAGCACTGTTTGCTTTGCTTTCTGTTAGCCTCTTAAGAACTTGAGAGTAGGGTTCAAGTCTGCGCTAATCTGGGGCTTCCCAACAGCACCTTGAACAAAGCAGATGGGCAGCAAACCTATAGCTCTCCCAGGAGGATGGTGGCTTTCAGAAAACAGCAGATACCTCAGCTACTTGTCTGCAGCTGCAGCCCTCACTATTTTAGTGAACTAGATAAGATTATGGTTATTTTTTAAATACAGTTTTTCAGAGTGTCATAGGATGCAGTGTAAAATCAGTCATTTTGCATAACTTGCTTTTTTGAAACAATGATACTAATTTCAGTCATTTTCTATATTAGCCTCAAAACTCTGTCCTACAGTTTTAAAATATTTTATTAGATTTTTTTTTGTTTCAAAGTGTATCACACAAAAAGAGTATACATGCATATCTAGTTTTTGAAAACAAAGTGAACAGCTATGTGCCACTACACAGCTTAATAGAATATTACTAGTATCTTAGAATTCCTGCCCTTTTCCACTTTTGGAAATTATTTAAAGAACCAGAATAAATATCTCTCAGCAAATATGCCTAATTTACTAAATCTCTTTTAATGGGCCCATTTTAGATATATATTTCAATTATTCAGTTCTTTATAAGAGAGAATATTATCCCAGGATTTAAAAGCATTCATAGATTTTTTTTTTTTTAAGAACAGGAATAATATCACTGAAAAAGTACATTAAAATGTAACTGTTAATTATTTACGGGAGGGGGGACCGGGATGGGGAATACATGTAAATCCATGGCTAATTCATTTCAATGTATGACAAAAACCACTGCAATGATGTAAAGTAATTAGCCTCCAACTAATAAAAATAAATGAAAAAAAAATAATAATTATTTACTTTTATGAGTTTGTTCAATCCAGAAAATCATTAAACATTTATTGAGGAACTTCTAATCCAAGCTGTTAAAGGTACTTACGGACTAGAAAGATAGTTTAGAACTGGTCTCTGCCCTCAAGTCTAGTGAATAAAAACATTTTGTATATGTAGCAAAACTCTCAAATGTATGATGGTTTTTCTTGAATTAAATGCCAGTAATCATATTAATTTTCATACACACATTTTATTGATTATTACCAGGATACACATAATGAAGATTTCTTTCCTCTTTTGTTCCTTTCATTCATTGATAAGTAGTGTATTCACATGGGGAAGTTTTTTGGTTTTTTTAAAGATAATGAGGTTACCTGGATGAATACAGTTTTGATCCATAAGTATTCTTTCTAGCATTTTTTGATATATGAAAAAAACCATTTTACTCATTGCTGTTTACAGGTGATTTCTAGCTTGTCTCATGCCATAGGCAAGCAAAAGGAAAGGATAGAGTTGATGAGAACATTCTTCCACTGGCGAATCAACCACGTCAAATCAAGGCAGGATGTAAGTGTGAAAAACAAAAGCTGATTGATACTTATTAGACTTCTAAACTCAGAAGCATTTAGAATCACGTATTAGAACTCTTGTTCAAGTCAGAGAAAGACTTGTTTTTTAATAAGTCAAAATGAATTATTGTTACTCTTAATTTAAACTTGAGGTTGGTACGGTTTGGGAAAAAAATACTTATATTTTGTAGACTTGTTGATATACATTTTCTACGTCATGGTAGGTTAAATACAGAGTGTACCTAAATTACAGATGTCCTGGTGATGGAACCCCTTTAACAAATTTGACCTCAGATTTAATTACATGAATTTATCATCTTTAGCATATAGTATGCTCCCTCTATTGTTTCTACTTCTAAAATGCCTGAATATATCATCTTTAAAGAGGCAGTACTATATTTATACATTATAAAGTTGCATAAATGTTTGTTGTGTAATTTGCCAAGTATTTTAAAAATCCATGGCCATAAGGCTCTGTAAAAATTGTTCTTAGTTTATATATAATTTATTTTTTATTTATTTATTTATTTATTTATTTATTTATTTATTTTACATGTATTCCCCATCCCGGTCCCCCCTCCCACCTCCCTCTCCACCCAATCCCTCTGGGTCTTCCCAGTGCACCAGGCCCGAGCACTTGTCTCATGCACCCAACCTGGGCTGGTGAACTGTTTCACCCTAGATAATATACGTGTTTCAATGCTGTTCTCTTGAAACATCCCACCCTCGCCTTCTCCCAGAGTCCACAAGTCTGTTCTATACATCTGTGTCTCTTTTTCTGTTTTGCACATAGGGTTATCGTTACCATCTTTCTAAATTCCATATATATGTGTTAGTATACTGTAATGGTCTTTATCTTTCTGGCTTACTTCGCTCTGTATAATGGGCTCCAGTTTCATCCATCTCATTAGAACTGATTCAAATGAATTCTTTTTAATGGCTGAGTAATATTCCATGGTGTATATGTACCACAGCTTCCTCATCCATTCGTCTGCTGATGGGCATCTAGGTTGCTTCCATGTCCTGGCTATTATAAACAGTGCTGCGATGAACATTGGGGTACACGTGTCTCTTTCAGATCTGGTTTCCTCGGTGTGTATGCCCAGAAGTGGGATTGCTGGGTCATATGGCAGTTCTATTTCCAGCTTTTTAAGAAATCTCCACACTGTTTTCCATAGTGGCTGTACTAATTTGCATTCCCACCAACAGTGTAAGAGGGTTCCCTTTTCTCCACACCCTCTCCAGCATTTATTGCTTGTAGACTTTTGGATAGCAGCCATCCTGACTGGTGTGTAATGGTACCTCATTGTGGTTTTGATTTGCATTTCTCTGATAATGAGTGATGTTGAGCATCTTTTCATGTGTTTCTTAGCCATCTGTATGTCTTCCTTGGAGAAATGTCTGTTCAGTTCTTTGGCCCATTTTTTGATTGGGTCATTTATTTTTCTGGAGTTGAGCTGGAGGAGTTGCTTGTATATTTTTGAGATTAATCCTTTGTCTGTTGCTTCGTTTGCTATTATTTTCTCCCAATCTGAGGGCTGTCTTTTCACCTTGCTTATAGTTTCCTTTGTTGTGCAAAAGCTTTTAAGTTTCATTAGGTCCCATTTGTTTATTTTTGCTTTTATTTCTAAAATTCTGGGATGTGGGTCATAGAGGATCCTGCTGTGATTTATGTCGGAGAGTGTTTTGCCTATGTTCTCTAGGAGTTTTATAGTTTCTGGTCTTACATTTAGATCTTTAATCCATCTTGAGTTTATTTTTGTGTATGGTGTTAGAAAGTGTTCTAGTTTCATTCTTTTACAGGTGGTTGACCAGTTTTCCCAGCACCACTTGTTAAAGAGGTTGTCTTTTTTCCATTGTATATCCTTGCCTCCTTTGTCAAAGATAAGGTGACCATAGGTTCGTGGATTTATCTCTGGGCTTTCTATTCTGTTCCATTGATCTATATTTCTGTCTTTGTGCCAGTACCATACTGTCTTGATGACTGTGGCTTTGTAGTATAGTCTGAAGTCAGGCAGATTGATTCCTCCAGTTCCATTCTTCTTTCTCAGGATTACTTTGGCTATTCGAGGTTTTTTGTATTTCCATACAAATTGTGAAATTATTCGTTCTAGTTCTGTGAAAAATACCGGTGGTAGTTTGATAGGGATTGCATTGAATCTATAGATTGCTTTGGGTAGTATAGCCATTTTGACAATATTGATTCTTCCAATCCATGAACACGGTATATTTCTCCATCTGTTTGTGTCCTCTTTGATTTCTTTCATCAGTGTTTTATAGTTTTCTATGTATAGGTCTTTTGTTTCTTTAGGTAGATATACTCCTAAGTATTTTATTCTTTTTGTTGCAATGGTGAATGGTATTGTTTCCTTAATTTCTCTTTCTGTTTTCTCATTGTTAGTGTATAGGAATGCAAGAGATTTCTGTGTGTTAATTTTATATCCTGCAACTTTACTGTATTCGTTGATTATCTCTAGTAATTTTCTGGTAGAGTCTTTAGGATTTTCTATGTAGAGGATCATGTCATCTGCAAACAGCGAGAGTTTCACTTCTTCTTTTCCTATCTGGATTCCTTTTACTTCTTTTTCTGCTCTGATTGCTGTGGCCAAAACTTCCAAAACTATGTTGAATAGTAGTGGTGAGAGTGGGCACCCTTGTCTTGTTCCTGATTTCAGGGGAAATGCTTTCAGTTTTTCACCATTGAGGGTGATGCTTGCTGTGGGTTTGTCATATATAGCTTTTATTATGTTGAGGTATGTTCCTTCTATTCCTGCTTTCTGGAGAGTTTTAATCATAAATGGATGTTGAATTTTATCAAAGGCTTTTTCTGCATCTATTGAGATAATCATATGGTTTTTATCTTTCAATTTGTTAATGTGGTGTATTACATTGATTGATTTGCGGATATTTAAGAATCCTTGCATTCCTGGGATAAAGCCCACTTGGTCATGATGTATGATTTTTTTAATATGTTGTTGGATTCTGTTTGCTAGAATTTTGTTAAGGATTTTTGCATCTATGTTCATCAGTGATATTGGCCTGTAGTTTTCTTTTTTTGTGGCATCTTTGTCTGGTTTTGGAATTAGGGTGATGGTGGCCTCATAGAATGAGTTTGGAAGTTTACCTTCTTCTGCAATTTTCTGGAAGAGTTTGAGTAAGATAGGTGTTAGCTCTTCTCTAAATTTTTGGTAGAATTCAGCTGTGAAGCCATCTGGTCCTGGGCTTTTGTTTGCTGGAAGATTTCTGATTACAGTTTCGATTTCCTTGCTTGTGATGGGTTTGTTAAGATCTTCTATTTCTTCCTGGTTCAGTTTTGGAAAGTTATACTTCTCTAAGAACTTGTCCATTTCTTCCAAGTTGTCCATTTTATTGGCATAGAGCTGCTGGTAGTAGTCTCTTATGATCCTTTGTATTTCAGTGTTGTCTGTTGTGATCTCTCCATTTTCGTTTCTAATTTTGTTAATTTGGTTCTTCTCCCTTTGTTTCTTAATGAGTCTTGCTAATGGTTTGTCAATTTTGTTTATTTTTTCAAAGAACCAGCTTTTAGCTTTGTTAATTTTTGCTATGCTCTCTTTAGTTTCTTTTGCATTTATTTCTGCCCTGATTTTTAAGATTTCTTTCCTTCTACTAACCCTGGGGTTCTTCATTTCTTCCTCCTCTAGTTGCTTTAGGTGTAGAGTTAGTTATTTATTTGACTTTTTTCTTGTTTCTTGAGGTAGGCCTGTAATGCTATGAATCTTCCCCTTAGCACTGCCTTTACAGTGTCCCATAGGTTTTGGGTTGTTGTGTTTTCATTTTCATTCATTTCTATGCATATTTTGATTTCTTTTTTGATTTCTTCTATGATTTGTTGGTTATTCAGAAGCGTGTTGTTTAGCCTCCATATGTTTGAATTTTTAATAATTTTTTTCCTGTAATTCAGATCTAATCTTACTGCACTGTGGTCAGAAAAGATGACTGGAATGATTTCAATCTTTTTGAATTTACCAAGACTAGATTTATGGCCCAGGATTTAATCTATTCTGGAGAAGGTTCCGTGTGCACTTGAGAAAAAGGTGAAGTTGATTGTTTTGGGGTGAAACGTCCTATAGATGTCAATTAGGTCTAGCTGGTCCATTGTGTCCTTTAAAGTTTGTGCTTCCTTGTTCATTTTCTGTTTAGTTGATCTATCCATAGTTGTGAGTGGGGTATTAAAGTCTCCTACTATTATTGTGTTACTATTAATTTCCTCTTTCATACTCGTTAGCGTTTGCCTTACATATTGCGGTGCTCCTATGTTGGGTGCATATATATTTATAATTGTTATATCTTCTTCTTGGATTGATCCTTTGATCATTATGTAGTGTTCATCTTTGTCTCTTTTCACAGTCTTTATTTGAAAGTCTATTTTATCTGATATGAGTATTGCGACTCCTGCTTTCTTTTGGTCTCCGTTTGCGTGGAATATTTTTTTCCAGCCCTTCACTTTTAGTCTGTATGTGTCCCTTGCTTTGAGGTGGGTCTCTTGTAGACAGCATATATAGGGGTCTTGCTTTTTTATCCATTCAGCCAGCCTTTGTCTTTTGGTTGGGGCATTCAACCCATTTACATTTAAGGTAATTATTGATAGGTATGGTCCTGTTGCCATTTATTTTGTTGTTTGGGGTTCACGTTTATACCACCTTTCTGTGTTTCCTGTCTAGAGAAGATCCTTTAATATTTGTTGAAGAGCTGGTTTGGTGGTGCTGAATTCTCTCAGCTTTTGCTTGTCCGTAAAGCTTTTGAGTTCTCCTTCATATCTGAATGAGATCCTTGCTGGGTAGAGTAATCTAGGTTGTAGGTTATTCTCTTTCATTACTTTAAGTATGTCCTGCCATTCCCTTCTGGCCTGAAGGGTTTCTATTGATAGATCAGCTGTTATCCTTATGGGAATCCCTTTGTGTGTTATTTGTTGTTTCTCCCTTGCTGCTTTTAATATTTGTCCTTTGTGTTTGATCTTTGTTAATTTGATTAATATGTGTCTTGGGGTGTTTCGCCTTGGGTTTATCCTGTTTGGGACTCTCTGGGTTTCTTGGACTTGGGTGGCTATTTCCTTCCCCATTTTAGGGAAGTTTTCAGCTATTATCTCCTCGAGTATCTTCTCATGGCCTTTCTTTTTGTCTTCTTCTTCTGGGACTCCTATGATTCGAATGTTGGGGCGTTTCACATTGTCCCAGAGGTCCCTGAGGTTGTCCTCATTTCTTTTGATTCTTTTTTCTTTTTTCCTCTCTGCTTCATTTATTTCCACCATTTTATCTTCTAACTCACTTATCCTATCTTCTGTCTCTGTTATTCTACTCATGGTTCCCTCCAGAGTGTTTTTGATCTCATTTATTTCATTATTAATTTTTAATTGACTTTTTAAAATTTCTTCTAGGTCCTTATTAAACATTTCTTGCATCTTCTCAATCTTTGTCTCCAGGCTATTTATTTGTAACTCCATTTTGTTTTCAAGATTTTGGATCATTTTTATTATCATTATTCTAAATTCTTTTTCAGGTAGATTCCCTATTTCCTCCTCTTTTGTTTGACTTGGTGGGCTTTTTTCATGTTCCTTTAGCTGTTGGGTATTTCTCTGCCTTTTCACCTTGTTTAGGTTGCTGTGTCTGGAGTGGGCTTTCTGTATTCTTGTGGTCTGAGGTTCCTTTTTATTGTGGAGGTTTCACCCAGTGGGTGGGGTTGGACGATTGGTTTGTCAAGGTTTCCTGGTTAGGGAAGCTTGTGTCAGCGTTCTGGTGCGTGGAATTGGATTTCTTCTCTCTGGAGTGCAATGGAGTGTCCAGTAATGAGTTTTGCGATGGATCTGTGTTAGGTGTGACTTTGGAGAGCCTGTATGTTGACACTCAGGTCTATGTTTCTGCGTTGCTAAAGAATTTGCGTGGTATGTCTTGTACTGGAGCTTATTGGCTCTTGGGTGGTGGTTGGTTTTGGTGTAGGTATGGAAGCTTTTGGATGGTCTCTTATTCCTTAATGTTCCGTGTAGTCAGGAGTTTTCTGGTTTTCTCAAGATTTGGGCTTAAGTCTCCTGCCTCTGGATTTCAGTTTTGTTCTTCCAATAGTCTTAAGACTTCTCCAACTATACAGCACTGATAATAAAACTTCTAGGTTAATGGTGAAAAGATTCTCCACCGTGAGAGACAACCAGAGAGGTTCACAGAGTTACATGAAGAATAGGAGAGGAAGGAAGGAGATAGAGGTGATCAGGAGGAGAAAAAGGGGACTCAAGAGGAGAGAGACAGATCTACGCAGTTATCTGTTCCCAAAGTGTTCTCTGTAGCCCAGACACCCACAAAGATTCACAGAGTTGGATTGGGAAGAGAAGGGGAAAGGAGGAAATAGAGGTGTTCCGAGGTAGAAAACAGAGAGTCAAAAGTGGGAGAGTAACCACCACACTCCTGAATAGAAATGGGAACTGAATATTGGATTCTTAAATGACCAAAATTTATATCACATACTACTGAAAAACAAAGATTAAAAATCTAGTGTAGAGGTTAGACTCTTTGAAATACAATATTTAAAAACAAAAACACACAAAAAAATTTAGAAATGTATATGAAGTTTGATTTTAAAATAGGGTTTTTCTCTCTTTTTTTTTTTTTTTGGCAAGGTTATAGTGAAATGAAAATGAAAATTAAGGAATAATAGAGGAGTATTAGAGGACTTTAAAAGGAAATAGGAGAGAAAAACAAGAAAAAGAAAAAAAAAATTTTTTTCCCTAATTTAAAAAATCGTAAAAATATATGAAAATGAAAGTTGAGGAGTAATGGGGGAGTAATAGGGAATTTTAAAAGAAAATAAAAGAGAAAAAATTAAAAAAAAAAAGGATAGAAAAAAAAATTTTTTTTAATTAAAAAAAAAAATATATATATATATATATCTCTAGGAATTTCTCTGGAGTTGTTGCAGTCAGCATAGGTTCAGTTCAATTTCAGATAGTACCTCTTTCCAGCTTACACTTCTCGATATCTGTAGGCCCCTTCCGGTGTAGTCGGTGTTACCTTCAGGGATTTTAATCTGTTGCACCGGTCCTTTCTGAAGCGGTTCCCTTTGTTTATTTGGCTTCTGTTTGCCGTCTCTTTGGTGTCTAATTTCCGCCCTGACACAGGCGGGCGGAGGTGATCTCTTATTTAGGTTCTCTAGTTCAGTTCAGTCCTGCTACGGGGAGGGCGGGGCGCTGCAGACAGACACCGCTCTGTGTGGATAGCACTCGCTGTGTTCCGGCCACACTGGGTTTGCCCCGCTCACGGGTGTCAGTGCTTTCCCCGTCTACACTGCTCAGGCTCCCGGCTGCTCTATATGGAGCGGGCCCTGCGTTGAGTGCGGTTCCAATTTTCGGGTACTCCACAAAAACGCAGATTCGGTTGCGCCTGCGTTTTGTGCCTTCCCCGGCCTGAGCGGCCCAGGCAGCCAGAGGCTTGGGCGTACTCTCCCTGGGTATGGCGCGCCTTTTCCCTCCGCGGCGAGCGGCCCAGGCAGCCAGAGGCTTGGGCGCAATCTCCCCGGGTACGGCGCGCCTTTTCCCTCCGCTGCGAGCGGTTCAGGCAGCCAGAGGCTTGGGCGCACTCTCCCCGGATGCGGCGCGCCTTTTCCCTCCGCGGCGGGCAGCTCAGGCAGCCAGAGGCTTGGGCGCAATCTCCCCGGGTACGGCGCGCCTTTTCCCTCCGCTGCGAGCGGTTCAGGCAGCCAGAGGCTTGGGCGCACTCTCCCCGGATGTGGCGCGCCTTTTCCCTCCGCGGCGGGCAGCTCAGGCAGCCAGAGGCTTGGGCGCAATCTCCCCGGGTACGGCGCGCCTTTTCCCTCCGCGGCCCCAGCGCGCGCCGCCAGTCGGGTCTCAGGAAGTCTTTAGATAGGAACCGGGGGCCGTTTGCAGTGTGGGAGGGGGCGGCTTCTCAGGGGCTGAGTTTGCCCTTTTCCCCTCCCCCCTGCCTCCAACCTCCAGCGGGTATGGGCCGGCTCTCTCAGTTCCTTTGTTTTGCGAACCGCCGGCAGTGTGTTCGGGCCCTAAGCAATGCCGCCCGCTCCTCTCCGTCCCGCCCGCTCCTCTCCGTCCCGCCCCCGCTTGTTGCTGGCGGGTACGGGCGTCTGGGGTACTTTTCTGCTGGGAGTTGCTTTTAGGCACGTAATCTGTGGGCCTTGTTTAATTTTTCCTCCCAGTTAGATTGCTGAAAACTTCCCCCAGTCCCGCCAGTGCGAGGGTTTCCTGGTGATTGGAAACTTCCTCTATTAAGACTCCCTTCCCGGGACGGGTCTCCGGCCGTAGCTCTTTTGACTCCCTTTTTATCTTTTATATTTTGTCCTACCTCCCTTCGAAGACAATGGGCTGCTTTTCTGGGCGCCTGATGTCCTCTGCTAGCGATCAGAAGTTGTTTTGTGCAATTTGCTCAGCATTCAAATGTTCTTTCGATGAATTTGTAGGAGAGAAAGTGGTCTCCCCGTCCTATTCCTCCGCCATCTTGGCTCCTCTCCCTGTTCTTAGTTTATATATAATTTAAACTTGAATATCTTTTAATTAAGTGAGCTGACTCAGTATATCAGTGTAAATATAAATTGAGAATAAATTATTGTATCAGAAGTAGAAAAGTATGAAAGTATATATGTATCCCACAAGAAGCCAAAGACTCAAGAAGGTAGGAGATGGAGATCCATACGTATATATGCATTTTATTTATGATAATCATGTGAGTAATGGAGTAATCTTTATGCACTTAGTTCCAGGAGAGTAATATTTAAGGAAAAGGCTGTTACTGTCATGGAGTATGATTTCTCCTTTAAGAGTACTTCTTAGTGCTTTCCTTTATTAATCCCAGTAGATTAAATCTACATTAACCATATTTAAAAGGGCTATTTAAAATTGAGTCATATTTTGAAGGTTATTTATTGGGTGACGTAATGATAATATGTTCAAATGTTAGTTGCAAGAGTTTAAGTTGCCATCACTTTTTTAATATAAAATTTTTTTTAAGAAAATTGGAAATGCTTCTTCAGGAGACTTTAAATTCTTTGATAGAAGAATAGCATGTGTTCCTACTGGGATCACTTTGCTATAAATTATGATGGCAGAGTGTGTAAACTCACCTGCTTATGGTGGTGGCCGCCGAGCTGGAGAGAAAGGGCCGTCTCGAGCCACACCACCACCCTTGCTGCCATCCAGCACCTAGTCCTGTTCTCAGCCAGGTCATCAGATTCACAACCAAGATAGCATGGGCAAGTCACTCATTTTCTTCCATCCGGTGTTTTGTTTCTCCCGTCTTGATGAGTTGCGTAAAGCCGTGATGTAATGGATAAGAGCTTAGGCTCTGGAATGAGGCAAGGCTGGCTTTTCGCTTTCTGCCTGGGTGACCTGGGCATGTCACTTAACCGTCTAAGCCTGTCCTCCCATCCGCACATGAGAAGAACATGAGTACACGGTATGAAATGCTAACGCATGTACCCCGCTCACCCCAGAGGGTGAGGTTTTGTATTACTACTGCCAGTATATTTACCAGTCCACTGTGTTTTGAGTTTGTGTATTACTTTCATTCAGGTTTATGAAAGTAAACTAGCTGACCAGTATTTTCGGCGAACTTTACTGAAGAAAGCCTGGAGAGGCTGGCGGGCCGTAATACAGAAGCAGTGGAAGGAGGTGGTGGAACGAGCTTGTCAAGCCAGAGCTGAGGAAGTCTGTGTCCAGATTTCCAATGACTATGAAGCCAGAGTTGCTCTGGTAAACGTTTTTTGCTTTATTTTCTCCTTTTTAAATAAAAATTAAAAACTTGGGGAGCCATCACTCACTGGCGAAGGAACCTGTTTCTCCAGTTTCGTTCACTGTGGTGTGGGATCAGGCAGACTGTTGGGAAGGAGCAGCACTAAGTCAGACTTGCAGACTCATTTATTCTTTTAACCGGTTATAACTTTGACCTCCAGACCTGTGTACATCTCTTGTATGTACATTTCTCTTGGAAGTGTAAATCACCCACAGATCATTACGTCTCTAAGAAAGCATACTTCCTTGGGCTTCTGCTGGCCTTTATTGAGCTATAAATAAAAACAAAAATGTTTACACCCGTGGCTGATTCACATCCATGTATGGCAGGAACCACCACAATATTGTAAAGTAGAAAGTGAGGTCGCTTAGTTGTGTCAGACTCTTTGCGACCCCATGGACTGTAGCCTGCTAAGCTCCTGCATCCATGGGATTCTCCAGGCAAGAATACTGGAGTGGGTTGCCATTTACTTCTCCAACTGTAAAGTAATTAGCCTCCAATTAAGTAAGTTAATTTTTAAAAGAAAGTTGATCCTTATTTATTTTAAATAAACTATGTTTTTCTAAGTTTGATATAAAGCAGTTGCATATAAATTGAAGTTATTTAGACTTATAACAATAATATAACATTGTTTCCATGTGAAAACATTTGAGACCCAAAAGGAAAATAAATTTGAAGAATGCAGTAGGCCTCTTGAAATCAAATATTAAAAGGAAATTTTTTTTAACCATTATAATACTAAATTCTTAAAGTTTTATTATGCAAATAACTTTCTGTGATTGACAGTGACATGCAAAAAAACATAGTCCCTTTAGATTTGGTCTATGGTAAAGTGTTATACCTAATGCCACTTTGCACTTTAAATTCTATGGATAACACTTATCTAAAAAAAAAAGAAAAGAAATCAGTTACTGTTGCTGGCAGGATATTTTACTATCCTACATAAAAGTGTATGGTAAGAAATAATAGCCTTTTGTATAATTAGAGTACACCAGTCCTGATTGAAGCCAGTATGAAATTCCCTTTGTTTAAACCTTGACCTTATAGTTAGGAATGAAAATGTTGTGTTGATGGAGACACTGGAGGTAAAATGCATCTTTTAAAATAATTTAAGAGTCAGCGGAAGAGGTATATGCTAAAGTGATTTTAGTATTTCATATGAAAATAACTTCACAGTATAAGAAGCCTATTTTTTAAAACCATAAATCATATTCTTCCTTGTAGCTCAGTTTTTTTTTCTTCTTTTTAAAAATTCTCCTGATTTTAGTTATCTGGAGCTTTGGAAAATGCAAAAGCTGAGATCCAAAGGATGCAGCATGAAAAAGAGCACTTTGAAGATTCCATGAAGAAAGCTTTCATGAGGGGTGTGTGTGCGTTAAATCTTGAGGCCATGACTATATTTCAGAACAGAGGTGATACAGGTTAGTGTTTTATTTAAGATTCTCTGCTTACTTTCAAAAAGGATTTGAGATTTCAGTGATTGGTGTGGTCTGCAGTACTAATTTTCTTATCCAGTATCTTATCCAAACACCATTTTTAATATCATAATGTTATATCCAGTTTTAAATCTGCCATGAAAATTCTCTCAGTCATGGTTACTTACAGTATCTTATATCTGATCCAGTAAACTGTTAACTATTTAGGCTCAGTGTTACAATAATGCTTTGAATATAGAACATTATTTTAAAGCTCTTTTAACTATAATGGTAATGCCTTTAAGTATAAAATTTCTTTTTTTTTTTCTAAGTAGCCAGATGCCTTGGACTGTTTTGTTGATTAAATATTTCTTGTCTATTCATGGTTTCCCTTTTTTTTTTTTTTTTTTTTTTTTGGTTTCCCATTTTTTAAAAAAATTGCTTGTCTTCCAGTGTGAGAGAGGCCTCAACTAAAACTCATTTCAACAAATATAAGTATAGGCTTATCTATAGAAGTCAACTAAAATAACTCTGTGTCAAGAAAAGTCCATGTATTGGCTTGGATTGGAATGGTTCTTATCATCCGCATGACATAGAACAGCTTTGCCACCAATTTACAATGAGACCTATTTTGCTCATTGGGTTTTAGAAAACTAAAATTTCTTCTGTGAACAAAGAAGATAATATAAATCTTCATTACCTGCTTTATAGCAGGTTCTTGTGAAAATGCAATGAAATACAATTGCAAGCACTTTAAAAGATAAAAAACACTAACATGTAAGAGGATAGTAATGATATAATTGTTGCAGTCTTAAGTCAGCCTCATAAACTTAATGTATATAAATATGTGAACATTTTTGCAGTATTTTTAAATCCTGTTTGAAAATCAGATTATTCATCAGTGACACAATTTTATTTTGTAACATCATTAATATGATTTCAGTCCTGTGAACAACTTGTCTGTGCTTGTTATGCCCTCATTTTCAAAATATCAACAAATATTTTTTATTTCAAATGTGTGTGCTGTGGATGGTGGTGAGTTCAGGCAAGTTGTTTTCTTTCTAAAGCAGTCATGGCATGTGACCCCCAGGCAAGTTAGAGACTTAGACACATAGATAGACCCTTGAGACGAATCGAATCTTATCTTGCTGATATCCAAATGAGTACTTGATTTCTCCAACAAGTGGTCTTTTAATTGAGTAGTAATGCTGAAAACAAATGTACCATCTCCATTGATTGAAGAGTCTGCTTTCAGTTGTTAATTGTTAGCAAGTTGAATATATTAAATTGAAGAATTTAATTATCTACTTATAACAACAAGTACTGGGTTTCACAAGTGCAGTGAGAACTTATAATCATTAGAACTTGCTACGTTCAATTACAAGAAGTCTATTTAACATAACCTACCTAAGGTTGTGAATTGACCTAGGATACAGTGTTTTACCACCTTAATATATTTACCATCTTAAATTTTTAAATCCAAATACAGCAATGTCTCCTACGGGCAAATATCATAGCAGGATTTGGAGCAAATGTATTCTGATCATTATACAATGTGACTTATTTTGCTCCTGTTGCCTTTAAGTCTATTGTAATCTGTAGCTAATGCCAGGTTCTGGAATCTGAGAGGTTTTGGGTGGCCTTGTGCTTTGTTTATTATAACAATGGAAGAAAAAGATGACAGGAATAGTAAGACACATCAGCACTATACTCTAGTATTGATGAAGCTACCAAAGGCAGAGTTCATTGTAATCTAATGCTAGGCTTGCTCTGTGATACTTAAGTCTTGTGGCATTTTAATAACAGCTATTAAAAGAGAATTTTTTAAATTCTCAAGAGAAAATAAAATTATTCCTGGTCCCCTGAAGATAACTGTTAGAAGTTTCTGTGAGGTAGACAAAATGTGACAATACAAATGGCCTTTAAAAGGATACCTGCCAATTTTTAAAGTAGTTTCAGGAACAGTAGAAAAATACTTTCCAGCTGAAAAATGTGTCCAGTTAAAGTTCAAATAATTACAGTACTGGTTCCACACCTGATAAGTCTGCCATCCACCTAAAAGTAGACAATCAGAATCACTTTCTATGAAAAACATGTTAAAACTCAGTGTGTATGTGTGTTTTCAAAGCAAAAGCAGTGTTTTTATATTGAATTAGTCTCTTCAAATTATTTCAAAGGACCCTAGATATTATAATCCTCATTAAACTTTGTTAATGAAGTAACTATTGCTCAATTTTATATAAAGATATTATTAAGACAGGAACTTACATAGTAGCCCAAATTTCTAGATGGAAAGAGGATAACATAGAAAACCGTTTAAACATAGGGTTACATAACGCCCTCTGTTCAAATATTCTGAGACATCTCAGTGACTGAATATTGAAATCCTCACCCTGATGTTTGATACCAGGTATATGTGGGCTTCCCTGGTGTCTTAGATGGTAAAGAATCCACCTGTGATGCAGGAGATCTGGGTTCATTTCCTGAGTCAGGAAGATCCCCTGGAGAAGAGAATGGCTACCCACTCCAGTATCCTTGCCTGGAGAATCCATGCACTGAGATCACGGGGTCACAAAGAGTCAGACATGACTGAGCGACTGAGCACGCACGCATATAGTCCCAAATGGAAATTTTAACCAAATCCGCATACTGAGAGGAAAAATCTAGAATAGGACCCTTCATCCTAGCTTGTGGAAGCTGACATTTTATATTTCTTTGATCTAAGATTAAGTTTCAGTTCTGAGAAAAGGTTGCTATATATGTGTCACTAAAATCAGTTGTGTACAAATATGCTCTTAATTCATGACATACGATCTACCTGCAAGAATTTATTTCTTCTACAGTATCAAAAGTAAAGATTTTAGTGTTACAGACTGATTTATTACTGTTTGCTGAAAAAATCAAGAATTAAAAATGCATTGTTTTTTTTTTTTCCAGAAATACATTGGTTTTTAAACCTCAAGTTGTGAGTGACAGTGATGTGTCAGTGTTGGCTAATCGATTGTAACAAATGTATCGCTATGGTGCCTAATATCCATTGTAGGGGAGGTTGTGGGTGTGTGGGAATAGGGAGTATATGGGAACTCTGTACTTTTCATTCAGTTTTGTTGTGACCCTAAAGTGTCTCTAAAAATAGTTTATTAAAAAAAAATTCACTGGTCTTGTTAGAATAGGAGTGATAGGTGGTAAATGAAGAGGGTATGGTGATTATCAGAAAATTATTCTAAAGGTCTAAATACCAGGCCATCTATCGGGATAGTTGTATGAAATAATGGAAAGAACATAAATCCTTAGGCACACTGTGACCATATTATTGTTGTGGTTATAAGGTCCCAGGTGAGTACCTAATTTTTTTTTTTTCACGTAAAAGCAAATCAGTCATTAACTCTCATTTGTTAAAGTGGTCTGAAGTCTTTAATGGTTAATGCTGACATTAACCAGTCAACACTGACATACTGTATTCACTGAACCCTATTAACATATCCAGTGATGACACATTTCTGTGGGACCAAATTTTAGCAATGATGGATTTTCCTTGTTGGGAAGATAAAAGCAATCTTAACTTGGGAACATGTTAATGGAATTAACGTCTGGTTTCTGGGAACAGATTTGACGACCACTAAAAGGGAAGAGTACGGTCCTGGTGTTCAGGGAAAAGAGCCTCCTTCTGCTCACGTGGACGCTGCAGCCCCTGCGGCGCCCTCGGCGGGCGCAGTGCCGCCATCCCCGCCAGCAGCGGCGCTCGGAGCCACCTGCGCGGCCGCGTTTCCCTCGGCGGCTTCCGCCGCCTCTGCCGGCGCCACTTCCGCTTCCTCAGTCCACCTCCCCGTGTCTGCTCCGCATGGCGCTGGGCCGATGGCTACTGCTTCTGCACAGGAGGAGACGGTCAGTACAGTGAAAGCAGGTGCCTGTGCTGGGAAGAGCGCTCCCAACTTGTTTGTATAGTGGATATTTTGCACTCTGACCATATTTTCCCATGGAGAAAAAAAAGTCTAGATGGTCTTTAGGCCAATCCACAGAAAATATTTAATATATAAATTAACTAAAACATTATAGTGAAAATAATTCCTGACAATTCTATTACAGCAGTGATAATTAAACAAAAATGAAGAATGTTTTAATTTTAAAGGAAAATGTTTCAAGGGTTTAGGAGGCTAATGACTCTTCTGTATATTTTATGTTCAACTGTTTGTCTGTGTTAGTCACTGAGTTGTGTTCGACTCTGCGATTCCCATGGACTGCAGCCCGCCAGACTCCTATGTCCATGGGATTCTCCAGGCAAGAATACTGGAGTGGGTAGCCATGCCCTCTTCCAGCGAATCTTCCAGACCCAGGGATCAAACCTGGGTCTCCCACATTGCAGGCAGATTCTTTACTGCCTGAGCCACCAGAGGGGCCTTCCCTCTTCATGGATGCAGATACTAATGCTACTCTGTAATGACTCCACCTTAATTTGATTAGGTTTTCAGTTTTCATTTATAATTGGAATGAAGATAGCAATTGTTTTTCCTAAAGTCACTAGCTGCTAATAGAGGGGTCCATAGAGGGGGAAGAGTACTGAAGGAGGATGGAGTATCTGTGGGAGAATTTACCTGAAGTTCAATTAATCAAACTATTTATCTGCATATCATGGTTCTGACTTCCTGGGCTCCTGTTGTTAAACCTGTATTCTTCAGTGTCTCTCAAAGGGTATAAGGATACCGGCCAAGTTTATCAGACTCAACTCTGCAGGCCTTTTTAAAAAAAACCATATGCCCTTCTTCCCTGCTCTGGCTCGGATCTGGCACAAAGTTTCTATAAAGTTTCTATAAAGGTACTGGGATGATTCTGATTTGCTTGCCTCCCTCTCCTCCCTGGCCCTAACCACTTACATGAAAGGAAGAAAGATGGCCGAGTAGGATTTAGGTTTTAAAAGAGTTGGATTGGAGGTACCATAGTGCTAGGCAGCTCTCTGTAGCTAAGGGAACATGTTGAGTCAACTGGACAATTAGTCATCTGAAGTATTCCTGCTGACTTGAATTTCTGCCTTTTGGAAGCTACTAACTTTAGGCGGAAATTTTTAAAATCTATTTTTGCAAACCTCAACATATTTTTGCTCCTCATTCAAAGAGGCTTAAAAAAAATATGACTTAAGAGAAATTTGAATGTGTTGGGGAGTTTTGATTTAGAAAGATACTAAAATTCTACTGGCATGGGTTCAGCTGTGTTTATGTTTCATGATTACACATTTTGAAGTGAGATCCTATACTAATGATCTCATTTAAATAAACATGGTGGTTTGTCATTCATATGCATATCCAGATAACACACAAAGCTAGATTTTTCAAAATTCCCTTCTAACATATGACTACATGTACATTTGTACACCTGGGTTTGTATCTGAATCTGAATGTGTGTAGGAAGAACCCAGTGAATGAGTCTATTTACCACCCTTTTTTGTTACTTTCTGAAACAGTTTGGTTACCTGAGGTAATTTTTAAGTCTTTGAATCCTAAAAAAACACAATATTAGATAGGCCTTTTTCTTCCCCCATCCCTCCAACTACTTTCTGCTCCTTCAGAACAGTCACGCATTCCATTTCATTGACTTAAATACAGCCTTTAGAGAGAAAGGAGAATGGCAAACTAATCTGTAAGTATCATCCTAGTTTTCTTCCTTTTCTGTTTAATTAAATACTCAGTTCAGCTCAGTCACTCAGCCTTGTCTGACTCTTTGCGACCCCATGGACTGCAGCACGCCAGGCCTCCCTGTCCATCACCAACTCCTGGAGCTTACTCAAACTCATGTCCATCGAGTCGGTGATGCCATCCAACCATCTTACCCTCTAAATTAAATACTCAGATTTACCTCAAATATGTCTTCTTGCTTTTGGAAAGAACCATAATGACAAAAGCAGAAACAAATACATTACTTGGATTACTTACCTTACGTGAAACCATAGTTGCTGGACACAGGAAAAGAAGAGAAATTTGTGATCCAGGACTGGCTGTCTTTCTCTTCATTTGAATCACAGAAACTTCCTTTCCTTCCAAAACTTTTTCTAGTCTTCCTCAGTATTTCCAGGAGCTAAAAGGGAGGTGTGTGTAGAAAGTAAATTGCAGAGTATCAGGAGACAAATAACTGAAGAAGGGAGGAGTACCATTCTAGTGAAAGAATGTCTCCATCTGTAAAATTATTTCATTTCTGCAGACATCATCAGTGTGTTAAAATATCAGAATTTCATGATGAAAATAATTTTCAAAAAATATATGTGCTCACTTTGACAGCTATTGTAGTTCATGAAGTTGAACAATAGATGGCACTTTACTTTTTATAACTCCAGTTGAAATAATTGGAAGAGTTTTAATTGAATTTTCCAGCTGTTTAGTAAGGTTTCTCTTCACTTATCTGAACGGAAAATGAAAGGCTAGCCTTAAGTCTGCTGGGGCTGCCCTCCCTGTTTCATAAATGAGGAAATTGAGGGCTAGGGAGAATAACTTGCCAGTGGACACAGTTACTAATGCAGTTTGAATTCAGAGTTTGAAAGTCTGGCTTCAGAGACCTGTACTCTTGAGCAATAATCTGCATTGTTTCCATGTCAGATATTAAAATACAAATATTAGAGTTTTCTAAATATGCCATTTCCCTTCTTTCTTACTCCTTTTGATTTTTGCCCAGCTGATGGGATTAGTTGATCATGAAAAAAGAATGAGTACATGTATGTGTTACTCCTGGTGTAAATGTAACCTTTCTGGAGTATTGTCCAACTGTAAGCAACAAAAGCTGTAAAACCTGGCATTACCTTTTGATATGATCATCCCATTTTTTGCAATACACTGCACATAACTCTCAAAGGAAAAGGAAGGCCCAGTGGCTAGGAGTCCGTGCTTTCATTGCTGAGGGACTGGGTTCCATCCTTGGTCGGGTAACTCAGATCCCACAAGCCGCAGAGCACCGCCCCCGCCCCCCGCCAAAAAAGAACACCCTATTCGTGAAGAAAAATTGTATTAACAGTGCCATGAGGAAAAGGGGAAGACACAAAAGCATATGTATAATGGTACTTTATCCACAAGGGTCAGTTCATTAAACAGATTAGTGGTTCTGAAGAATAGGGATTGTTTGGGAAGGGAGATGAGTTTGACTCTAAAGAAAGGACAGTGTGAGGGAGAGCCTTGTGATGATGAAACAGTTGTGTATCTTGATCACAGTTATGGTTACAGAAGTCCACATGTGATAAAGTGACATAGAACTATACCCAGGCATCCATCAATTCCTCGTTTTGCTACTGTAACTATACAGTAATTATCTAAGGTGTAATCATTGCAGGAAACTGGATGAAGAACACATAGGACCTCTGTGCTGTCTTTGCCACTTCCCATGAATCTATAATTATTTCAAAATAAAGTTTTAGAAGTTCCTAAAGTCCTATAAAAGAGTTGGTATACCAAGGTTAAAGGGGTATTTGGAATGGTTGGTTTTGTTTTGCTTTTTGTCTTATTGTTTAAAAAAATTTTCCCCATTTTAGAGTTGGTTGAATATACAATTATTTTAAGTGCCTGTGTATTTTTAAGTTACAGAAGCAAAAGTACCATAGATTTTGCCATAGATTTTCTGCCAACCAGATATTTCTTTTACAGTATGGGCCCAGGGCTGTGACATCAGCGCAACAGAAAGCTGGGAGAACAATCACGGCCCGGATCACAGGGAGATGTGATTTTGCTTCAAAAAACAGAATCAATAGCAGTTTGGCTATAATGGGAGTTTCTCCTCCCATGAGCTCCGTTGTTGTGGAAAAACATCATCCGGTCACAGTGGTGAGTCTGCCTTTGATAACTTTTTGTCACAAAACCTTTTTCCTGAGAGCTGATAGACTAATAAGCACTTAAATGCCATGTTGAGGAGAAGATCAAAATCCACGGTGCCTGGTACTTGTTCTGCCTTTACTATTACAGTCTTTATATACTTACAGTTGTTACATCTGCTTTATATGTACACCTTTCCTATTTTAAGAGATTAATTTCAGAAACGTTGTTTCTTCTCATTTGTCTGCTGTGTGTGAGTCTCTGAGTCCTGTCCGACTCTTTGCAGTTCCATGGACTGCAGCCCTCCAGATTCCTCTGTCCGTGCGATTTTCCAGGCAAGGAGACTGGAGTGGGTTGCCATTCCTTCTCCAGGTTATCTTTTGAACCCAGGTCTCCTGCGTTGCGGGCAGATGGTTTACCATCTGAGCCAGTAGGGAGTGAGGGTGGGGGCTCAGCCGGGCTAGTATAAAAATTGTCAAATACAAAAAGTAATCCGGGGTGTTGATGGCCAAAAGGGTAAATATATAAATGATTTCTCAATACTTTCTTTAAAAAGACAAAAACTGTTTACTCATTAACTGCCATCCATATAGCATATTTTTTACCCTAAGAAAAACTTACCTACTTTCATGGTGTTTGATTTTTGCTCCCTTTTTTTTTTTTTTGGAAGTCTTCTTCCTACTTTTTCAAATACAATTGCCAACATATTTCTAACTTGGGGAAAAAAATCAGGTTGCAGTAAATTCATGTGATGTAAAGAAAAGTACATGGAATTTAAGCAAAAATAAACAAGACCGGAGTTAATGCCTTAGTTTTGCTACTTACTGCCTTTGTGATCATATACAGATCAAAAAATATTTGAACCTCCATTTTTTTCATGTGTAAAACAGTAGCAATAAGAGCACTTAGCTCCTAGAGTTAACTGTCAGGATTCAGGATTAAATGAGGTAATGTGAAAATTAAATGAGATGTATAAAGGCACTTTGTAAACCATAAAGCCATAAGCAAATTTAACTTAATAAAAATTACTAGAGGACACATGGGAGATCTTCTGTTATTTCTTACAATCATACATGAGTCAACAATTATCTCAAAAAGTTTAATTTCTAAAAGTTATGAAAACACATCCCTAGAGAGAAACAAGGGTTGATTTTATTATAAAAGAGAATGCCCTCTATATAAATTTTCAGTCTTAACATTCCTGTCTACTTAATATGTCAAAAAGATGTAAGGAATGATTGTAAATCCTTTTCTTTGTGAGCACTAGATTGTTGCTAGATGATTAAGTCAAAAGAAGCTGGATTGATTGTTTAAATTTAGCCTCAGGTATAGTGCGATAGTGAAGCTACAGACTGAAATGGAAGTACGGAGTCCAGACTGAACACATGGGGGGTGGAGAATCATCTCAGCCTCTGTAGGTTGGACAGACTTTGAAAGGCCTTAGATGACTTCTCTACATATTTTTGAAAATGTGAACTTAGTTATCAAAGATGAGAGGAAATGAACTCATTTCTGTTTTTATCAGCACAGTACTCTTGCCTGGAAAATCCCATGGATGGAAGAGCCTGGTGGGCTGCAGTCCATGGGCTCGCTAAGAGTCGGACACGACTGAGCGACTTGACTTTCACTTTTCCCTTTCATGCATTGGAGAAGGAAATGGCAACCCACTCCGGTGTTCTTGCCTGGAGAATCCCAGGGACGGGGAGCCTGGTGGGCTGCCGTCTGTGGGGTCGCACAGTTGGACATGACTGAAGCGACTTAGCAGCAGCAGCTGCAAGATGTTTATAAAGAAATGGGAGAGAGAGACTGTCCATTTGTAAGATAAGATGTAAAGAGAGCACATATGTTTATTTTTAATTCCGACAAACTGGTTTTGTACTGATTGGAGTGATACTTTACAGAAAAAGAACCAAGAAACTAAAGACTTAAAACCCCTGTTTGATATTAACTGCCTTTTGATTATTTAGTATGTCCAATGGCTCTTCAGTAATTGGCCATGAATTAAATAGCCATAAACTGCTTCCATTATTACCTGCTTTGGACTGTGTAACAGGCACAGTGTCAGTCCTCTGTACTAGTTTTCATTTTATTCTGGGATCCCAGGAACTAGGACTGTCAGAAACAGTTACTTACTAATAAACCATTCTCCAGACTTTGGACGCTGGAGCTCCACCTGCTGGGTGATTGCTTGCCCCTGAGGCTACTTGGTTCTGTGCTCTATTTTGTAGACACGATGCCAGCGGCGCCCCGGTCTGCTTCTGCAGCTCTCTTGCCCATCATCCCTTAGGAGGAATGGCTCTTTTGTTATGGTCAGATCAACTAAAATTTCATACCATTTGCAAGAATCTCTTCCATTTGTAGTGGTTATCCAGTTATTTATGTACAAAGAAACATTTATATAAAAGACTTTAAGAAAGGAGGTTATTTTTTATTTCTTTAAAGAGGAAATCTAATTAAATGGAATCTGACATGAGGATCTTTGTTTCAAGAGGTTTTGTCCATTTCCTAAGCAAAAGCTGTATCATAGAGCTTTTGAAATGCACAGTGAATGTTTTGATATGATATGTATAATTTTACGTCAAGTATTTTAAAGATGACTTTTCTAAAAGGAACACCCTAATAGGAATCTACATGTACTAATGTTTGTTGGGTTAAACTGTAGATAATGAAATAATATTGAAATAATATGTAGTAATATACTTTTATTGACTTGTTTAAAGTATATTTTTGCTTTTTCAGCAAACCATTCCTCAAGCTGCTGCAGCAAAATACCCGCGGACCATTCACCCTGAAGGCAGCGCCTCAGCTCCCAGGTCTCTTGGAACCAGAACAGCTCACACCCAGTCTCTCACAAGCATTCCGTCCATAAAAGTGGTTGACTGAAATGAATATGTTCACATAGAGGTCTTCTAATTCTTCTGGCTTTACCAAGAATTAGAAGTCTTTCGTTTTTAAAATTTCATATCCTTAGAACATGATGGATATATCATGTTCATTTTTTCAAAGTTACAAGAGACTTTTCCAAGCTGTACCATCCTTTATAACTATATGTAGAATTATTTTAATGTTATTTTTTATTTAAGCAATTAAGTAAAACTTTTTTAAATTAAAAAAGAAACTGGACTTAATTTTTTTAATAGGTTCAACGTGTCACTGATTATATCAAAGTATATAAATCCTGTTTTTGTAAAAGTCTAAATCATTTCCAGTGTTACCAAGTAAACATTGAAAGAGAACTTGATTTAAAAAAATTATTTATACTAATAGAGACTAAGGTATTATTTGAAAATTTAAAAGATAAAAGCCAAGAGTAATAATACCACAAAGTTTTTTTGTGACTTTAGTATATTAGTCCTCATTTTTCTAGGATTCAAACAATTAAAAATAGGGGGCACTAGCAGTACCTATGAATAAAATTTTTAATGTTGAAAGAGGAAAAGCATTTTACTAGCACAAAAACAGAGTCACAGAAACATCAGAAAGAAGTTTCCTTGTAGAATGATCCTATTTCTAATGTTTTTTCCCCACCTTGTTGAAACTCTACCTCTGAACCCTATTTTGCTCTGAACATGCAAACATTTTCCTGTGATGGAATAGCCCTGGACAATTCAGCAGACCTTCCAGGCCTGGCAGAGACTTGTCCATGGCTGGACGAAAGGAAGAAACCATCTGGACAAACAGATTTAGAACAGAGACCAGGCTTCTGACGGTTTTATTGCTGGCTGACTGGGTTATCTTGAGCCAGACACTTAATGGCAGGATCCTCATCTGTGAAATAATATGATCTACCTACCCCACCTCTTTCCCAAAGTACTTAGGCTTACATAAAAATGAGTGGATTCCGAAGAACTTGTGTAGAGCCTAGGTTTTTGTATCTTTCATACAAGTCTGTGATTTCAGCCTCTTTCAGTCTGAACATGACTTAGCCCTGTGCTCTAACTTTACCACTGGAAATACAGTTTTTCTTACTGCCTCATGTCATAATAGGACTAGAGAATAAATGTGAGGTCAGTAAATATCCCATTTTCTAAAGGGCACACCAAGGTTTTTTTGAACTATAAAAGCATCTGGCTGTGTCTTAAAGAGTATTCACCAGGGAAACCCAAAAGAGTATTAGATCCTTCTTATGCAATAGTATATGATCCTCCTTATACTTATTGTGGGTTCTGGCCAACTACAACCAGCTTCTGCTGTGGCAAGTGGCTCTTGGTTTTCAATAAGCACAAACCCACAACTCCTCATCTTCTGCTGCCTACACCACGGGCCTGTTCCTCCCAGGCCTTCCCTGCCCACCCAGAGAGTCGAGACACCTGAAGTCTCCGCTCACCTGCAGCATGGAATCAGCACCCCATTGGGGTAAACATCTGTTCTTAACAAACCCTGTATAAACTGTCCATCCTTGAGGTCAGTCAGTAAGTTGTACTTGATACCAGGCGTTGGCCAGTTAGATAAATCACACTGGTCTTAGCTCTCCCTCCCTCCTTCTCCATCTCACTTCCTTTTTCCTTCACTCCTGCTTCCTTGGATTTGCACTCCTGAGAAAAGCAGTGGCTCATTACTTTGGTCTTGGGCTCTGCTTTTTAAGGAACTTAAATGACAGCTAGGGATGGTCTTCAGTATCAGAGCCACAACCACATAGACTAACATCAATATTATGAATATTGTAAGCATCTTTTAAAGCTTTAAACTCTAGAAATTATATATTGTCTGCAGCACCAAGTAATTAGTATTAGCCCAATTCAACAAATTCAACAATTAAAACACTTAAACAGTAGAAATATGTATTCATCTTTGTTTATTACTTCTTTAAAAGGTTACCCAGATTTTGAAGCATGGTCTGTGGAAAGTGTGGTCTCAGGTGGCAACAATGCTTTAAACTTTTTAGCACCATGTGAACATATTACCTGTTTAAAACCTGTTTTAAAATTTAAATGTACCATTTACAATCAGCATGAGATGAAATGTAGAACTATAAATTCATGATGTAATAACTGGACTGAAATTGCTCACGATTTTATTTCTAGCCTTACAGACTTAGAGTCAGAATTTGATAATGGAGAGCCTTAAGTTATAATGAATAGGTACACATAAGCTGATAGAAATTGATACTTGATTTCATATTTCAGAACTTTCTCAGATTATAAAAATAATGCATGGTCAATATAAAAAAAAAATGGAAAGTACCGAATCACCTGTAACTACATCACCAAGAGATTAAAAAACATTGGTGCATATAACTCTGGTTTTAAGTAAAATGTTATATTACATATAGGTGTTATTTAAAGGCAACAGCTACTAAATTTCCAAAGCAAGTTTCTCTTGTGGACTAGAAATAATAGTTCATTTCAGTACTATAGATACGAGGTTAGGCATTTCACAGGCATTCTCCCATCATCACTTAACTTTACAGAAGAGATAGCCTTTTCCCCCAACCTATGGAGAAGGAAATTAAAGATCTGATAACTTGAATATTAGTCCAAAGGCTCACAGCTAATAAATTGCAAAACCATGTCTGTCTGTTCTAAAACCCTTGGTTTTTTTCATATACCATAATGTTCCCACCATCATAATTTTTAAAACATGATATACAAAAATCTTAGATTATTCTATCACTAGATAAGCTATCAGGTGTTACATCAAATGACAGAAATGGGAAAATCATATACAACTTGTTTAAGCAAAACCAAAAATTTTTTTACTTCAGTGGTTGGAAAGTATAATACCATTTCTTCATCTGTTAGAGAATCCTGTCACTGCCATCTTCATAGTTGAAAGGAAAATCAATACTACTGCTGGAAGAACTTGATGACATTTGAAGAACTGAATTTAAGAGGACTGCACACTGAATGGAAAATCATTTTAGTTTAATTTCTTTAGGCGTTTATGAAAGTGCACATTTCTTGGGCCTTGAGTAAGCTTCACTTTTAAATTGATGAATCTTTTCTGGAAAAAAATCAGATAACATGATTAATAGCTGACCTTTATTAAGCACTTGCTACAAGTCAGGCACCATCACTCAATCCCACAATGGCCCTTTGACACAGACGCTTTTCTAGTTAACAGTGAGAACACTGGTGAAGTGAGTTCTCTAGAGAACTTGCTCAAAATCACACAGCCCATTATCTGTCGGAGTTGAGCTATAAGCTCACAGTCTCACCTGGAGTGCATGCCCTCACCCACTGCAGTGGGCTGCCTCTGAGAGTTCTTGCGGACACTCTTTCATAGAAACAAAATCCAAGTCGTAGGGAACAACCCAGAGCTAGGAGGATAAGACCATGGAAGTTAGACATCACCCATGCACTATTCCTTTGTACCTACCACTGCTTGAAACAATACTGGATTCGCAATCTGCTGTGCTTTCATGTTCTTGGTTTCAGAAAACTGCACCAGCGAAAATAATGGCAGATGTCTCTATATTTTGCTTGAATGGTTATTACATGAATGATAAATAACACCCCTAATATGCTGATAAGGTTTCAAACCATCTTCCCTGACAGTACGGTCCCTGGTAGAGTGCTTTTTAGCAGTAATCCCAGCTGGCAAAATAATAGCCCATCAGCTCTCTTCTCTCAACGCAGAGAGAACTTTTTCAAACACACTAACCTGCAGAGTTCCCAAGAGGAAGAGGCATTCTGTGCAAGACCATTCTTAGCTGTGGGGCACTGTCCTGTCACCTTATGAGACGGTGCAGCTCTCTCGCCCACCTCCCATCCCACACCCACCATGCCCCCCACACAAAAGTTCCCCTCCACTTTTCAAATGCGCAGCTGGGGGATGACCCCTGAACCGCCAGGCTGACAATGGGACCAGGATGACTAAGTCACCAAAGGGGAAGCTGCGTGTTCGGACGCCCTGCTGGGACTGCCGCGGCTCAGGGGAGCACTTCTGCCAACTGAACTCGACTGTTTTAAGCGAGCAGCAGTTTCCACCCGTTTGTTGAAAAGTCTAACTCACCAGCTGGTTCTGGAAAGTCCATGCACACCGAAAGCTCCTTGTACAGGTGCTTGACCGGCGTGGCCTGTGTCGCCAGGGCCCCGTGCAGCCAAATAAGCAGAGCCCTGTGGCCATGTTAGCAGAAGCTCTCCTTTCCTGAGCCAAGCACAAAGGGCAGATGCTGACGCCTGCTTCCGGGGAACTCGGTTCTAACTCGATTTCCACATAGCTGTGGTTGCAGGTTCATTCCCCCTCTGGCAGCTGTGAGATAGGAAGCCCAGTGCATGAAAGCCCTTCCTTCACTGGTTCTTCTAGGAGGCACCAGAGTTTGGAGTTCTTGTCACACACCTACTGTGCTTAACACAGATCAAAGCTGAGGAGGAGAGGGGAGGGAAAATCTTAAAGCGATGTGGAGCTTTTTCCTCAACGTTCTGGTGGCACTGGGATAGGCCAGCGCTGCTGGTTCAGCCAGTCTGGAGTGAGGATCTGCAGGTCAGTAAGCTCCCAGGTCCTGCTGCCGCTGCCCGTTGACCACACCCTTAGCAGCCAGCATGCACCCACCTGCCAGTCCAGCTTCCAGAAAGCTCCTCAGGTGGAAGCCTGCAGCTCCTGGCCAGGCAGGACTCTCCACTGGGCACATCCCAGTAGACATTCTACCCCTAAGAGGTGTTGGGGGAAGTGCTGGGTTTGGAGATGAGAAGCCATGGGCACTTCTGCCTACAGGTCGCAGTTACAAAGCCCTGCCAGATGCTGAGGAAATGGGTGGCCTGAGCTCTGGGAAGGAAGTCTGCCGCATTGACTGTTGGACAGACAGGCATTTCAGGGGGAGCAAACTGTTCCCATAAGGAATGTACCCCTGGGTGAATCCGGCGCCCCTCCTTGTCCTGCTGCCGCCAGACTGATTTCTCTTATATACCATCATCAACATGCCATTCCTTTGCTCAAAAGCCCACCAATTCCTGGGCTTCCCGAGTGGCTCAGTAAAGAATCCACCTGCAATGCAGGAGGTCGAGGTTCAATTTCTGGGTCACGAAGTTCTCCTGGAGAAGGAAATGACAACCCACTCCAGTATTCTTGCCTGGGAAATCCCACGGACAGAGGAGCCTTGCTGGCTACAGTCCATGGAGTCACAAGAGTCAGACACGACTAAGCCGCCGCCACCACCACCAATTCCTTCATGCCAGCTACAACATAACTGGATTGTGACTGTTACTATTGATACTATCATGCCAACCCGATTATCAGCTGCATCAAACATGCACCACAACTTACACAGCTGACATATGGATCCCTCACAGCACTAAACACATTCTAGGCACCCTGTAATGTGTGAATGCAACACATCAAAACCCTTATCCTGACAGCAAGTACTCCGAAGGCATAATGTATTTCCAAATCAATTTTTTAGGTCAAGAGAAATTTCCAGAAGGCAACTCCATTTTTCTGAACACTGCAGAACACTATACGCCTAATTAGCAACAAGGAGAAATCTTAACAATACAAAAGAAATCTTTTTAGAAACTGTAGTCAATATTCAACATTTTCAATGCATTATCTTCCTTTTTTTTCCACATGAAAATGTATCCTTAGAATTAGCAATAAAAGTGCCATAATGTACTTGTGTGGGGTGTAAGTGAACTGCCTGCCTCTTGCCCACATCGTCTGGGCCATGCTGACCTGACCACTGCTCTTCACCGGCTCTAGGAGGCACTCCTCTGGGCGTGCGTAAAGTTCCGCGAACTGGCCAGCCTCTGCCACTCATTGGCCTTCAGCTGACAGTCAGCCGGGTGCCGGAGCAGACGGCGAATGTGCCTGGTCTCCAGGCTGTGATCCTGCCTGAACGTCAGAGTAGAGCGGGTTGATGTGTCCCTTGACGTTCTCACTCTGCTCCTAGATTGAAAGGAACCCTGTCGGATGATTTCAGATGTTTTCTGCTGATTGCCTCATTTCAGAGTATATATGAACTTATTTTTATCAGGTGGAATCCGTAAGGTGGTAACCAAGACTATGCTTTCAACATTAACTACAACTGGATTAATTTTTTTTGTCATCCAAGATAGAGACAAACGTCTGAAACAACAAGCTGGAGTCTGTCTGACTCAGGAAGCGAGAGGCCTTTTGCCACGCTGTGTCCCATGCCTCTACCCCAGCCTGATCACCACTTCTAAGGAAACAGACGGGGGTGCCTTGGCTATGGGAATGTCACCACAGCAAATGCATCTTTAGATGCCTTACTTCCAACCAGTATCACTTTTTCTTCTTTGGGGTGTTTAATTTTCTCCTGTCAACATTTCTGAGGGGCCCAGATTGGATATATTCTTTAGGAGACCCCATAGTCGATGCCTCTGTCCCTCCTGCTCTCTGATGGTTGTGAGGAGACTGGACGGGCGCCCTGACTCTCAGGGCTGCAGAAGACAGGGCTCCTCGTGGCGTGTGCAATGCAACTGCACTCGAGGTGCTAAGTCACGCTGTGTGTCATACAACTGCACTCAAGGTGATACAATCACATTGTGTGTAATACAATGCACTCTAGGTAATGCAATCACGTTGTGTGTCATACAACTGCACTCGAGGTGCTACAATCACGTTGTGTGTAATACAACTGCACTCTAGGTAATGCAATCACGTTGTGTGTAATACAACTGCACTCTAGGTAATACAATCACATTGTGTGTAATACAACTGCACTCTAGGTAATGCAATCACGTTGTGTGTAATACAACTGCACTCTAGGTGATACAATCACATTGTGTGTAATACAACTGCACTCTAGGTAATACAATCACGCTGTGTGTAATGCACCTGCACTCTAGGTGATACAATCACATTGTGTGTAATACAACTGCACTCTAGGTAATACAATCACGTTGTGTGTAATACAATGCACTCTAGGTAATGCAATCACGTTGTGTGTAATACAACTGCACTCTAGGTGATACAATCACATTGTGTGTAATACAACTGCACTCTAGGTAATACAATCACGTTGTGTGTAATACAACTGCACTCTAGGTAATACAATCACATTGTGTGTAATACAACTGCACTCTAGGTGATACAATCACATTGTGTGTAATACAATGCACTCTAGGTAATGCAATCACGTTGTGTGTAATACAACTGCACTCTAGGTGATACAATCACGTGTGTCATACAACTGCACTCGAGGTGCTACAATCACGCTGTGTGTAATGCACCTGCACTGTAGGTAATACAATCACATTGTGTGTAATACAACTGCACTCTAGGTAATACAATCACGTTGTGTGTAATACAACTGCACTCTAGATGATACAATCACATTGTGTGTAATACAACTGCACTCTAGGTAATACAATCACGTTGTGTGTAATACAACTGCACTCTAGGTGATACAATCACGTTGTGTGTAATACAACTGCACTCTAGGTAATACAATCACGTTGTGTGTAATACAACATGTATTACAGCGCTGCAGCCAGGCTCAGTCCAACAGCACCATGACTGGATTGATGCTTGTTTTCTGACTTGTCAAAGTTCCCTTTGTCCCTTTTAAGAATACACACAGACACACACACACACAAAGAAGAAGATTCCACCAGAGTCCTACAGAATCCAGCTGAAACTGCTGGAGGACATCACCAATAAAGCAGAGGTCATGGCTCCCTATGACTGCACCTGTCATGCTCGTGCCATCGGGGCTCCAGACAAGCCTCCCCCGGAGGGAGGGAATGAGGGACACCAGGACTCACAGCCCACCAAGAGGTCTCCTCCCCCCTTTTACATATAGTGACTTCTATTTTTGTCTTTCTTTTTAATAAAAGTGAATCTTAGTGAAATATACTCTGAACAGCAATCTGGAAGTCAATGCTGGGGCAGGAAGTGGACTAAAGGGGTATGGGAACCTGGTTTTCGAGACCTACGAGAAGAAAGTTGGGGGGGGCTTGTGCCCCAGCCTCCAGCACAGGCCAGCCTGCACCCTCACAGCATCAGTACCCTCCTCCGGAAGGTCCACAAAAACTCCCGGGAAACTTGGCGGAGGGGCACGGCAAGACCTTTCTCTAGCATCTGGACTTTGTGAACAGAAGCTGGGATAGGAATGGTAGGAATGACTGGCTTATAATTGTTTAAGGTTTTAGAACGCAGGGTCTTTTGCACCCCAGCCTTTCTCTACGTAAAAGAGGTAAGGGTGGGGGTGGCGGACTCCAACAAACAGGAGGAGTGCTGGCTGCCCTGTTCCTTTTCTCCTCATCCCATCTCCTGAAAATGTGAAATCGAAGAAGATGAAAACCCCAAACACCAATTAAAGGGAAGGCTACAAAATGCCTCTGCTCTCAGCTCTGCACTATAGCACCTTCGTTTCCCTGGAAGCATGCCTGTGTGTGCATTCCAGGATTGGGCTGGGCCTTCCTTCAGGCTGCCACCGAAAGGGCCAGGGATTTGGAAAGTCCAGGTCTTTTTCAACAGGCAATGGAAGCATTAATAGCTCATGCGTAAAGCACTGACCTATTTGCAGATATAACATAAGCCAGAACTGGGGGAAATTAAAATAGCATAGGCCAGATGTTAGGAAGCTCCCATTTGAACCCTTGAATTTAATGATGGATGATTAGGTGGTTAGGTAGATGAGTAAATGGATATGAGAGAGAGGGGTAATTTCAACGGTTTCTCTAATCTTCTCATTAGGAACCATTTTATATTAGACCAGGATATAAGCTTCTTTAATAACAGAGTTTTAAATAATAAAACAGCAATAAATAAATTTGGTTAAAAAATGTTAAGGATATATATTTAAAAAAAAAACAAGACTTCCTCCCACTCCAGACTTCAGGATCCCAGTTGTCACCAGGGGTTAACAACTCTTAGCATTTTCTGTGGGTCAACATCACCAGCTATAGGCGTGCATTATTTGTGATTTTCAAAGTTCATCTAACTCTCCCATCTTAAAGACTGGCAAGGAAAGAGGCCTTATTCATCTGGTAGAAAAATGATTTATTCTCATCTAGGAAAAAGAATCTAAAAACGCTAACAGAAATTAAAAATAGAACCAGTGAATATTCCTATTTTTAAAGAAAATGTGAAAACCATCATTTAAAAAACAAGCAAAAAGATGGAACCTGGGAAAGTCATCCTCAATAAAACATAGTGATGATCTAAGAAAGTGAGAGTGAGGCTAGACAAAGAGGAAGAGGAAAAAGAAGATGGAATAGAAATCAGAGGGAAAAGGAGAATGATTAAACAGAATTCTAATTGTCAAGCACTGTCAACTTTGTCAAGTTTGTTTTGTCTTAGAGGCAAATAAGAAAAGTCTGGGGAGGACAGAGTGGACTCTGAAATAATCCCCATGTACCAGGATTATTGAGCCAATTAAGCAGTACTGTGAGCAAAGAGGCAAATCAGTGCATTTTGCCTTAAAAGGCCTTAAAGGGACATTTCTCAGCACTGGCAAATTAGACATCAATTCGGGCATGAGGTCCCCTCAGGGGAAGAGGGACTAGGACCCAAATTCTGGCTCCAGCCTATCGGACCAGGGGTTCAGTCTAGGACAGTAGAGGGTGGCTGTCTAGTAATGAAATTCCTGCCCAAAGGGATTGAATCTTGGTGGGGTCGGGGGTGGGAATTCTATTGAGATGCTGCATGAGTGGCAGCTATCAGAGGGAATACTGATGCAAGAAGGCAGAGCAATGTCCTGAAGACCAGTTTTTGTATTCTCAAGATGAATAAGGTTTGCATGACCATCGCAGAATACTTGAGTACTGAATAGCCAGTACAGTGGTATGTTGCAAACTGCAAAACTCTGAATAGGAATAATATCTAATAAAAATATAAAGCAAAAGATTTGATTTTAACATCTTTGAATTTGAGATTCCTAAGGTATCTGAATAATCACTGGCTGCTATTTCAGCTCTTCTCTCCCCACCTAGCAAAAGCTTCACCATTTCTGTGCAGCACATAAAAATGTCAAACATTTGAGATGTGGATAGGACTGACCTTTACTAATGGTCATACTCATTTTCATTATTGGTTTCTTACTAGAATACATATATCCTCAGCAGTATAGTTCATCAGTGCTAGAGTAAATACTTGTGTGAAAGTGTTTTAACTGTTTTCTAAAAAGTAACTTACACAAACCTACCTGGTTTGCCATCTTTGGGTGTTTATATTTTGTGGGCTTGTAGTTAAAAAGAGGAAGAAAAATTGTGTCCAAATAATGTAGTAGTTAAACTTTATATCGTAAAGCCACATTTAGAATTGCTGTTGCTTTAATGATTTCTGAAATTTAAATAATGCAGCCAAATAAAAGACAAAGATACAAAAACTAAATATGAACTTCCCTACCAGGACTGATGGCCCAGATGGTAAAGAGTCCACTTGCAATGGAGGAGACATGGGTTCGATCCCTGGGTCAGGAAGACCCTCTAGAGAAGGGAATGGCAACCCACACCAATATTCTTGCCTGGAGAATCCCAAGGACAGAGGAATCTGGCAGGCCACAGTCCATGGGGTCACAAAGAGTAAGACATGACTGAGTGACTAACCCATCCGAATGACATCTGACCACTTGGTAGAATGGGAGTCTGGGAACTTCCAGAAGGAACCATATATAGCCAGAGACTGTGACGGCAGGCACAGCCAGCAGTGTAGGCTGGCCTGCTTGGCCCCACTGTTCCCACCACTGCTACTAACAAAGGATGGAGAGGAAGGGACGCAGCTGTTCACGCCACGGATGGAACAGCACAGGACAAGAGGCGGTAAAACCACACTCACCCGGGCCCTGGCCACTAGGGAGAGAAAAAGAGTCACATAGACCGCCCCTCCCGCCCGTCAGAAGAGAGGGTTGTAGAAGAGGCCTCTGCAGAGCTGACCTGAGCCTTCCTTACCTCTCTCTAGGCATAGTGCCTCTCAGCTTTGATGAGCACGTCCATGCAGAGGCTGCGGCTGCTCCTTGCGGCCACAGCCAGGGCAGTCTTCCCTAGCTAAAAGCCAGAAATCAAAGTGTCGGACAATGTGGAGTACTGGTGAGGAGCTCTAGCTTTGGAACAAGGGGCCCTGGATTCAAATCCTGACCCTACTGGGGAAATTAAAAGACGCCTGCTCCTTGGAAAAAAGCTATGACCAACCTAGACAGCATATTAAAAAGCAGAGATAGTATTTTGCCAACAAAGGTCCACATAGTCAAAGCTAAGGTTTTTCAGTAGCCATTTAGTATTTTGCCAACAAAAGTCCATCTACTCAAAGCTGTGGTTTTTCCACTAGTCATGTACGGAAAAGCTGAGCGCGGAAGAATTGATGCTTTTGAACTGTGGTGTTGGTGAAGACTCTTAAGAGTCCATTGGGCTGCAAGGAGATCCAACCAGTCCATCCTAAAGGAAATAAGTCCTGAATATTCATTGGAAGGACTGATGCTGAAGCTGAAACTCCAATACTTTGGCCACCTGATACGAAGAGCTGACTCATTGGAAAAGACCCTGATGCTGGGAAAGATTGAAGGAGGGAGGAGAAGGGGACAACAGAGGATGAGATGATTGGATGGCATCACTGACTCAGTGGACATGATTAAGTAGTCACCGACATACTTAAGTAGGCTCCGGAAGTTGGTGATGGACAGGGAGGCCTGGCATGCTGCACTCCATGGGTTCACAAAGAGTCAGACATGACTGAGCGACTGAACTGAACTGAACTGTAGCAATCCACTCCAGTATTCTTCCCTGGAAAATCCTATGGACAAATAGCTTGGTGGGCTACATCCATGGGATCGCAAGAGTCGGACACGACTTAGCAACTACAGCACCATCATTGCTTCCTTGTGGGGAAAATGTGGGCCAGTCCTCAGCTTCACTGGGTCTCAGTAACTTCCCCTCTGTGTAGCAGCAAGGGGCAAGTGTGATAACACATATTGCACACTTAGAACTGCTTGTGGCACATGGTAATGGTCTAAGAGATGCTAGATGTTGATAGTGTCAAGAGCTGTGTCAGTGGGGCAAGAGAAAGGATTGTGGCTTAGGGACCCACCATCAACAGGTGATTTTTTTATACATACGCTATCAATGAGAACCCAAGCATTTCTCTAAGATTGGCAGGGGTCACTCTGGCTCACTGCACTGGGAAGTCCTCAGCAAATAAATAATATGATCACACACACTTCTCCTCCAAAAGCTAACTCCACCTGTGGCACAAACTTTAGCTAATAACCCATGCCCGCTTCCCCACCAAATTGCCTTTCCTCCTTTCCTCTAAAAGAGATCTCCAGATTTTAGCTGGGCATTTGGCCACCTGAGTATTTTCCTAGCCTCTCTTACCCTTGGGTATGTGAACTAAGTACTGGCCAATGGCATACAAATGAAGCAGCACATGCAACTTCTGGGAAGCATCCTTACAGAGAAGAGGGATGTCACTCCCCTTCCCTCCCTCCTCCTCCCCAAGTGGAATGCTGACGTGATGGCAGAAGCCCAAAGAGCCATGTTAGATCAGCAAGTGAAGGCCACCTACCGAGGAGGGTGGAGAAATAACACAGCAAAGGGATGAATTTTATTCAGAATAAATATTAATCATGGTAACACGAATACAGAGCTCAACTTCCTGGACTCCTATCCAGAGATTTTTCTATTATATCACACCACCTCTAAACAAAGATGAGGGGTTAGAATCTTAACCAAATCATTCATGCATGCTCAGTTGCTGAGTCATGTTGGATTCTTTGAGACCGTATGGACTATAGACTTCCAGTCTCCTCTGTCCATGGAATTTTCCAGGCAAGAATACTGGAGTGGGTTGCCATGCCCTCCTCCAGGGGATCTTCCCAACCCAGGGATCAAACTCCCATCTCCTGCATCTCCTGCATTGGCAACGTGGATTCTTTACTACAGCGCCACCTGGGAAGCCCTTGGAATGACCAATAAAGGCTGTTCTAGACCTAATTTGGGGGCATAAATGTCCTTGGAGCCCATATGGCACCTCATATAAATTACAAATGGCATACCTTTGTCAAGGTGGGTATAGTTCACAGCTCCCCTAGATTTTGAGCAGTGCCCAAGCCACACATCTATACTGTTTCCCCAAGCAAAAGATGCTGGTTCTCATTTGCTTTCCAAAGGACCCATGGAAAATCTGCTCAGGGATCCTGAAGATAATTAAAATGAATGGTCAGAAAAAGCCTCAGAAGGGACTTCCCTGGATGTCCTGAGGCTAAGATTCCCCGTCCCCAATGCAGAAGGCCTAGGTTTGATCCCTGGTCAGGGAACTAGATCCCACATGCCACAACAAAGACCCAGAACAGCCAAATAAATATTTTTTATTTAAAAAAAGAAGAAACAAAGAAGAGAAATAACCTCGGAAAGAAGTTCCAACCTCAGAAACCCATGTTTCTATGCTCAGAGATCCCGAAACTTATCCTGATAAGTCTCTCGCATGGCTGAGTATTTGTGAAATGCAACTCCCACCAATTCAAATGATTTGTCTGCTAGTCCAGACACTGAGACCCAGGTGAACCTAAAAATTAGAGCTGAAAGTAATCAGCCTCTAATCAAAAGAGACAGTAATGAAATTAAGAAGAACTTCATTCTGCAGGCATTTAGCAAGTGTCTAATTGTATGCTATCTAAATTCTGGCTTGTAAAGCCGTCTGAATCACCATAATTAGCCTATTTTGGGAAGGCAGCATTCTGAGAGCCAGAGGTTTCAAGCTCAGAAGAAAACCTTTGCAGGGAGCATGGCTGGAGTAGAAATGCAGATACTTGTGCTGGTGAGGGTGCGTGGCCCTCTGGGAGCTTTGTGACCCCAAAGGCTGAGAGGACAGGGAAAGTCAGCTTTTCCCCCAAACTTGGCTCCTTCTTTCTCATCCAGTGTGTGTGTGTGTTAGTCACTCAGTCGTGTCTGACTCTTTGTGACCCCACGGACTGTAGCCCACCAGGCTTCTCTGTCCACAGGATGGACCAGGCAAGAACACTGGAATGGGTAGCCATTATCTTCCTGACCCAGGGATCGAACCCAGGTCTCCTGCACTGCAGGCAGATTCTTTACCATCTGAGCTACTAGGGAAGCCAGACCAGACTTTCATTCAGTCTTAGAAACAGTCACTTATCTTTGGTAAAAATCATGGGAACAGGGAGAAAAGAGAGTTGTTCTTCATTAAATACATACGTCCTGGATGCCAACTAGGTACCAGACCTGATGAGAAAAAGAGGGAGGCGAAAGGAAATCTGGAAAACAGATCATGAGGCCCAGGAAACTGTGGCTTTGTTTTGAGAAGAGAATCAAGTTATAGCAGAGACATGTTCACTGGAATATTCAATCCACTTGATTAGGGGCCCAACGTAAGATCCCTGCCCAATGCTATGGATTCTCTGCTCACCAGACTGCCCTGGAGGTGTTGTTGACGAAAAACTAGGATAAAATACAAAAAGAAAGCATGAGAAGCTACTAACGCTAAATGTTAACACTGGGCTGGACGAAAGTTCCTTTGGGTTTTTCTGTAAGATACCGTGACAGAAAAACCTAATTGAACTTTTTGGACACACCAACACTAACACTAAAGGTTAATGGAGTTAACGAGCCACCACTGGTGGAATTTCACCTAAGGGATGGAAATATGGCTGGTTTTGTTTTCCTCCCCTGTGCTTTTCTATGTTTTCCAAACTGTATACTTTACGTTCAGAAAAAGAAAACTGGCATGTTGAGGGTAAAATTATTAACAATATTTTTATATTTTAAAATATTTTATATATATTTTATTGTTGAGGGTAAAAATTATTAACAACTTATCTCAATTAAAACTGGGATGTTAATATCAAGATACAAGGTTTCTCCAATTTAGGTCCATTTCACAAAAGATAGAATACACAGAAGAACTATACAAAAATGATCTTCATGACCCAGATAATCACAGTGGTGTGATCACTCACTTAGAGCCAGCCATCCTGGAATGCAAAGTCAAGTGGGCGTTAGGAAGCATCACTATGAACAAAACTAGTGGAGGTGATGGAATTCCAGTTGAGCTATTTCAAATCCTAAAAGATGCTGCCATGACAGTGCTGCACTCAATATGCCAGCAAATTTGGAAAACTCAGCAGTGGCCACAGGACTGGAAAAGGTCACCTTTCATTCAACCCCAAAGAAAGGCAATGCCAAAGAATGTGCAAACTACCGCACAATTGCACTCAACTCACATGCTAGGAAAGAAATTCTAAAAATTCTCCAATCTAGGCTTCAACAGTACATGAACCGTGAACTTCGATTTAGACAAAGCAGAGGAACCAGAGATCAAATTGCCAACATCCACTGGATAATCGAAAAAGCAAGAGAATTCCAGTAGAGCATCTACCTCTGCTTTATTGACTGTGCCAAAGTCTGACTGTGTGGATCACAACAAACTGTGGAAGATTCTTTAAGAGATGGGAATGCTGACCACCTTACCTGCCTCCTGAGAAATCTGTATGCAGGTCAAGAAGCAACAGTTAGAACCAGACATGAAACAATGGACTGGTTCAAAATTGGGAAAGGAATACATCAAGGCTGTATATTATCACTCTATTTATTTAACTTACATGCAGAGTACATCATATGAAATGTTGGGCTGGATGAAGCACAAACTGGAATCAAGATTGCCAGGAGAAATATCAATAACCTCAGATATGCAGATGACACCTTATGGCAGAACTAAAGAGCCTCTTGATGAAAGTGAAAGAGGAGAGTGAAAAAGTTGGCTTAAAGCTCAACATTCAAAAAATGAAGATCATGGCATCTGGTTCCATCAGTTCATGGCAAATAGATGGGGAAACAGTGGAAACAGTGACAGAGTTTATTTTCTTCAGTTCCAAAATCATTGCAGATGGTGACTGCAGCCATGAAATTAAAAGACGCTTGATCCTTGGAAGAAAAGCTATGACCAACCTAGACAGCATATTAAAAAGCAGAGACATTACTTTGCCAACAAAGGTCTGTCTAGTCAAAGCTATGGTTTCTCCAGTAGTCATGTGATGTGAGAGTTGGACTATAAAGAAAGTTGAGTGCCGAAGAATAGATGCTTTTGAACTGTGGTGTCGGAGAAGACTCTTGAGAGTCCCTTGGACTGCAAGGAGATCCAACCAGTCCATCCTAGAGGAAGTCCTGAATATTCATTGAAAGCACTGATGTTGAAGCTGAAACTCCAATACTTTGGCCACCTGATGCCAAGAACTGACTCATTGGAAAAGACCCTGATGCTGGGAAAGATTGAGGGCAGGAGGAGAAGGGGATGACAGAGGATGATTGGATGGCATCACCAACTCAATGGACATGAGTTTGGGTAAACTCTGGGAGTTGGTGATAGACAGGGAGGCCTGGCGTGCTGCAGTCCATGGGGTCACAGAGTCAGACACGACTGAGCGACTGAACTGAACTGATTCTAATCCTGCCTCTCAAGGCTCACAGCCAACAGGGAGGACTCAGCAACCAGCTCAGTTAAACAGAGTGAAGCCCATGAACTGACCTTGTCAACAATCTTCAAGTTACAGCCAGCCTTCAGCAGGGTTTCCACAAGTTCCACATTTCCAAGATCAGCAGCTACATGCAAAGGATTCTGAAGCCTCTACCATGAGAAATTTCAAAAATATAATTCAGCATGTTAAAGAGAGAAGAAAGTTGCATAATAAAAAGACAAAGGGAAAGCAAAGGTGTCCTCCACAGGCATAAGGGAAAACAGATAAGCTAACTTATTTTTAAACAGGAACAGGAGACATTCATTGCTGTTATTTATAACAATGAAAGATTGAAAGGAAGTTACATGCTTAATAAGGAGACTCATGAGATAAATTATGGTATACGCACATATGGGAAAAGTAGGCAACCATCACAAATAACTTTTTAAAATAATTTCAATAAGGGACACCTACAGTAGTAAGTTCATAGAGATACAGTGAAATGGTGTGTTGAGGAGGCAGGAATAAGGAATTACTGTTTAATGAGTATGAGTCTCAGTTTAGAAAGATAAAACTCTGGAGACAGTGTGAGAGTTATGCACATGGTCAATATGCTTAATGCCACCGAACTGTACACTTAGAAATGGTTACAATAGTTAAGTTTTATGCTACATCTATTTTGTCACAATAAAAAATAATTTCAGAGATTTGTAAAAATGGTAAAGTGCTTGTAACATTTAAAACCTTAGGAAAAAACACTCTCTGGCTGAGCTCAATTTACATATAAAAATAGAGGAAGAGAAGAAATTGCATTGGTGATGCTAAGAATGATAACATCTAGATGAAGGGATTAGAGGTTATTTTTATTGCCTTCTTGATGCTTTTCTCTATTTTGCAAATTTCCTACATTATAGTGTATAAAAGGAGTGTCAGCTTTTAATTCCTTTCTGAAATAACCATTTTCCTACAAAAAGGACAAGAGGGTCTCAGAGAAATAGATGAAATCACAAGAAAATCACCCGTCTTACACCTCCCACCAGAAGAAACTCTGATGAAGGCATTTCTAAAATATTAACACGGACAGGAACACTGGTTGTGATCTAGCCCCACTCCTACAACCAGAGGGAGGAAGCGACTCCCCCAGTGTCACACAGCTGGGCAGAAGCATCTAGTCCAGGACTCTTCCTCCCAGAGCACAGGGCCGACCTGCTTGGCGTGTTAACAGAATTAATACCAAAAAGCATTCACTAAAGACCCACTTTTAGGCGGCAATGCGCCCCTCTGGAGGCTCATTATCTAAGATATGGAACAAACACTGACAGACTGATTGAAAGTCTATACCAACATGGAACAGAGACAAGTGTCACACACCAAATACTCATAAAACCTCCCAATGGCAAAACTGCTAGAAGTCCAGAGGGCAGGAAATGCAACCTAAATATTAAGAGAGCTCTCTTTCTTTGGGGGGATTAGAACCAAATTGTTAAGTTTTTTAGCTTATTTACGTCTCCTTACTTTTATACACTGTGTGTATTCCTAGTTTCACAAAAACCATCAGTGATGAAGAATTTGATACCCTGGGTGGCAGTCTAGCAAGCCTCATTTGCTGGAGTGGAGGTAGCCAATTCTGGTGAAACCAGAACCACTTGGGAGTTCTGTCCTTGTGGAGAGAAAGATGCTGCCTATAAGAAAAGATCTGGGGCATTAACATATCTGAACACACATGTATGTTTAATAACAAGGGGGATTTTTCTTCCCCCACACTTTTGGGATAATAGAAGACCAGGGAGGAGAATGGTCCTGGGGGAAGGAAGGGACGGACAGGGAGTTAAGTCCCCATTCAGCTCAGGGCACCAGCGACCTCACAGGTTGGAGCTGGAGCAGAGATGGGAATCAGAGCTCTGGCTTCATAGATGAGGAAACCGAGGACTACCCAGTGGGTAAGTTCAGGCATCCTCACCAATCATGGCCACTCCTGACCTTGGAGGGGGGCAGCCAGGAAGGAGGGCGAGGTCCCAAGACTCATGGGTTAAGACCCCTCTCTCTGAGAGTTTTCTTTCCCACTTCTGGCCTCTGGAAGAGGGCAGCCCATCCCACAGCGGGGCCCAGGGCAGACAGCACCCACGCCCATCCTCTTAATTCTTCCACCTCAACATTTCCATTTCTAGCCAGTGATGGATGCCTTCTATGGAACATTTGATTCTGCTCCAACGGACTGAGTTCATGCTGATATTTAAAAAAAAAATTTCAAGAGGTCTCTTTTGCCTTTGGGCAAAAAGAAGATACATTTATGGTCTGTCATACAAAGCTTCCTTCTGGGGGAAAAGGGTTCTCTGCCAACTACAACATTTCACACTGGGGGAGTAGCTTTTGATTTAAAGAGGCTCTGGCAATTTACCTCCGAGCTACTGTTTATCTATCCAAAGCACTGGGCCTGTTAAATGTGAACAGTTTAATAATGCACTGGCTGAATCCCAGTTGTGCATTTGAAAAAGACAAAATATGTGTGTGCAAGTGGGAGTGAAGGTGAGAGGGGGAAAAGGATAAAAAGTGAATGTGCCTGTTCCTCCCAGGAACCTCGAACTTGATCAAAACTACCCCTAATCACACACTGAGCTGAAACAAGAAAATTGACTCTCCAGGTTCTGACTTGCTGGCTTACCTGATTTAAGATATCAGCGTCATGCCGTGCACTTAATAAGCTGTTCACCATTGTGACATGGTTGTTGAGAACAGCTAAATGAAGAGGGGACGCCTTCGGCTGCAGAAACAAACGACAATTTCAAATTCAAAAAGTTCTGGCTTCAACATTCAGATAAAAAAGTGACTCATTTCAGCAGATAACCCCCTGAACACTGACATGGCCCAGCATGGTGGTGAGTCCTTCAGTAAGTCTTCAGCAGTCATTTGCCTGCCAAGGTCGCACAGCTAACATGCTCACCAGCAACCCCCGCTCCCACATCATTTATTCTAGAATGTGATTCTGAGCACCTACTATAAGTCAGGCTCTCTTCAGGATGCTAGGGGTTCAGTCAGAGCCTATGAATGAATGAAATCTACGGTTTTTCCAGTAGTCCTGTATGGATGTGAGAGTTGGACCATAAAGAAGGCTGAGCACTGAGGAACTGATGCTTTCTTACTGGGGTGCTGGAGAAGACTCTTGAGAGTCCCTTAGACAGCAAGATGAAACCTGTCAATCCTAAAGAAAATCAGACCTGAATTTTCACTGGAGGGACTGATGCTGAAGCTGAAGCTCCAATACATTGGTCACCTGATATGAAGAGCTGACTCACTGGAAAAGACATGATGCTGGGAAAGATTGAAGACAGGAGGAAAAGGGGATGACAGAGGATGAGACGGTTGGATGGCGTCACTGACTCAATGGACATGAGTTTGAGCCAACTCTGGGAGATAGTGAAGGACAGGGAAGCCTGGTGTGCTGCAGGCAATGGGACCACAAAGAGTCGGACTCTGCAACTGAACAAGAACAAGGGGTTCAGTGGTGAACATGGCCCAGCCTCAGGAATCTTTCGAGTAGGGAAAGTGACATTGATTTTTTTTAAATCACAAAATAAATATATGGTTACTAATTGTGTTAAGTACCTTGGAGGAAAACTGCAGAGTAGTAAGATAGCATATGTGTGTGTGGGCTGAGGACCAAACTTGCCAGAGGTCAGAAAAAAAACTTTCCTGAAGAATTGACATCTGAGCTCAAATATGAAGACTAAGGAACTACTGAATAGCTTAACTGCGGGACTTCTCAGAGCCTTCAAAGAGCTAAAGTGCAGTGGGAATAACCACAATAGAAGTCATATTCCATATTTCCTAACTTGCCTTGAACTAGGGCTTTTTGTCCCTAGAGCGGGTTGGGGGACTAACACCCCCTCACCGAGGGTTCAGTCCATGCTCAGCCCTCCCACCTGTGTAGTCTGACCACCGTGTATTTGCCAAGCCCCGACAGTCTTTCCTCCCGCTTTGTGGCTAAAACACCTGTCTTCCAGCCACGTGCTCAGTCACCTCCAGCGCAGGCTTCTCACCAGCTCTGCCAGGCTCAGTGACCCCCTGCACACTCACACACACAGCCTCTGGCTGCCTCACTCCTACCCAGCTGCCCCTGGTCCCGGGGGCTCCAGAGAAAACACCTCCCTGGGGGTAGAAAAGGCAGCTGCAGGATGAAAAAAGGCGAGGAGGACACAGTTAAGGTGTGAGAGTCAGGTGAGGGGCATCTAGTGGGGAGGGGCGGGGTTGGGGCGCAGGGAGTGGATGCAGTGAAACCGTGTGGACCACAGAAGCTGAGCTGAGAGGCAGAAAGAGTGGAGAGAAGGGGTGCAGATGCCTCGAGGGTGGGTGCAGAGGATGGGGCACGGTGCTGCTCAAGCAGAGATGATGACGTTAGTCAGCATCAGGTACGCACATACAACGCATCCTCCTAAGGGTACCACTACACACTCACGTCACCAGTAGTTGAGTTCAGTTCATTTGCTCAGTCATGTCCAATTCTTTGCGACCCCACGGACTGCAGCACGCCAGGCCTCCCTCCGTCACCAACTCCTAGAGCTTGCTCAAACCCATGTCCATTGAGTCAGTGATGCCATCCAACCATCTCATCCTCTGTCATCCCCTGCCCCTCCCACCTTCAATCTTTCCCAGCCTCAAGGTCTTTTCCAATGAGTCATTTCTTCCCATCAGGTGGCCAAAGGATTGGAGTTTTAGCTTCAGCATCAGTCCTTCCAATGAATATTCAGGACTCATTTCTTTTAGGATGGACTGGTTGGATCTCCTTGCAGTCCAAGGGACTCTCAAGAGTCTTCTCCAACACCACAGTTCAAAAGCATCAATTCTTTAGCGCTCAACTTTCTTTACAGTCCAACTCTCACATCCATACAGTTAATATTCTCATATCCCCAGCAGTTAATACTATTTAAAACACTAGGCTGACAGCTTTTCATTCACAACCACCCCAGCAGTTAGGTCTTCCATTCCACAGTTTACATACTGAGAGAGTCAATTCCTCAGCAGGTTGATAAGAAGTCTGGGTCTCTGAGGAGGAGAAAAGGGTCTGGGGCTCTCAAAGAGGAGACAGGGGTCTGGAATTCTCAAGGAGGAGGAAATGACAAAGTCTTCTTTTTTTTTTCTCTACATTCTGTAGTCTTGGTCACATAAAACGTTTTTTGCTTTAAGCGCAGAACTGATGATTACACAACAAACAACTCAGTTTAAACTCTGTACTAAGGATTATATAGCAACAATGTATCCTGCTGGAGGACAGTTCCTCCTTCCTGAAAACCTTCTGACTAATCCTGTTATCTTAAATCGTGTATTATGGGACTGGGTCTGGTAAGATCTTTCTATTGTTAGTTCTAATCCTGTCATCTTAGAATGTAAATTGTGGGAGTGGGTCTAGTAAGATCTTTACCACCTTAGACATTCTTTTGATACACTGTAATAAGTGATTAAAAAGTATCTAACTCCCTTGCTAACTCTATCCCCCTTCAGATGTCCATGTCAGAAGTTTTCTCTGCCCCTTTTTACACTTTAATAAAACTCTGCTACACAAAAGCTCTTGAGTGATCAAGACTGGTGCCTGATCCAGAAGCTAAATCTTCTTTGGAGATCCTGAATCACCTAAGCTATCAATTCGAGACACAGAGGTTAAATCACCTCCTGAGGCATCTGAGATAGGAAGTGGCAGAGACAGGATTCAAACCCAGATCTTTCTGACTCCAACATCAACACCAGCCTCCTTCCCACAGGGGTAGATGGATGGAAGAAAGATACAGTGATTGAGCAAAGAACCCAGCAGTACTCAGAGGAGGAGGAAAGGAGGGGCAGATGGGACCTAAAGCTGTGTACATCAGACTGTCCAAGGGTGAGCATTGGCAGTCGGAGACAGATGGGGTGGAGGGGCAGGCTTTCTATACAGACCTCTTCTGCTCTGGGAGGACCTGGTCTCTATGACACCAAGCGTGAAAAAAGAGAACAGATCCCTAATCCCAGGGACATAGTGAAGGCCCTTCCTGCTGGGACTACCAGCCTTGCTGTGACCCCAAAGCCTCCTGAGAAACAGGAGGCATCCTTGGATAGACCAGGCAAATTCAGAGCTTCTCATGCCATTCTCCAAAAACTACCAATCCTGGTTTAAATCACATCCCTTCTCTCCAGTTAACACAATAAATAGAAATGGCTTAAGCAAGATCAGAGGAAAGAATATTCTCCCAGGAGAAATGAAACTAGAGTGAAAAATAGCATCTAATTCCAGCACAGATGGCCTTTGTTAATTCTGCCAGGGCCAACTTCAGAAAACCTAAATCAGTACAAATGACTGACTTTCAAAAGAAAAACAAAATCGGTCAACGAAGGGGGAAGAATAATCCTTCTCCTGCTTATTAACAGCAGCTTCATCATTTTCCCAGACTGATAAATTTAATACAAGAATGGCCATCTCCAGACACGTGAGAAAGTTTAACTGCGGCAAATATAAATATTTAAAACACAAGATTTCATTTTGTTCAGGAACTGCAACAACTTTCTAAAATTCAGCCCTCGGATTCTATTTCTCACGATTAAAAGTCAGTCTGCAAAAGGAGTTGGTCAGCCCTCCCAGAAAGAATTCCTCCTTTGTGATCACCGTTCCTCCCCTTCCTCTCCCCAGTGTATCTGCAAGCAGCATCTTACAGCACAGCCAAGCCTCAGAACTGGGATCCAAGTCCATGTCACCTTAGACTCACTCCCATCATCTGGTGCAGATCAACGTTCTCACTGAGAAGAAAGCTGACAAGTGATGCACGCCATTCTGGGTTGCACTGATATTGATCTGTAAGAGACAGGTGGAGAGAGAAGGCAGGGAGGGATTCCCATGAGAATCCAGCATGCTTTCTGGTGTTCTCATGGTTATCAATGAATACAATGAAACTGAAACAGTATGACTCTTTTAAAGAGAAAATTCAATGTGCTTCTGATTATGGGGGGGGGGCGGGGCGGTGTGCTCTTTGTTGCTTCTAGGTGAAGAGTCAGGTCCTAGGCATGCCTCAGGCAAATATGAGCTAAAGCCAGGAAGTACGAAGTGAACTGGGGCCAAGTCTTCTCTCTATATACCCAGCTAACCCTCTCCTTGAGCCCGAAGAGATGAACTTGGTATTGGCCCCAGAAATGCCTCAACCCTCTCATTCTGACTGTTTACTAGCAACTGTCCCCTTGCAGGCACCACCTCAAAACAGCATGAAAGTGTTAGTGGCTCACTTGTGTCCAACTCTTTGCGACCCCACGGACTGTGGTCCGCCAGGCTCCTCTGTCCATGGAATTCTCCAGGCAAGAATACTGGAGTGGGTTGCCATTTCCTCCTCCAGGGGATCTTCCTGACCCAGGGATCAAGCCCACGTCTCCTGGGTTTCCTGCATTGCAGGGGGATTCTTTACCACTGGGCCACTTGGGAAGCCCCTGATTATCCTGTCCTCCTGCAAAAGTCCTTGCAAGAAGAAAAGCTTAAAGATAATAGCGGATGGTTCTAAGCCACTGTGCTTGAGTTGGTTGGTTATAAAGTGATAGGCAAGTGGAACAAATATTCGCAGGATTGATACACACTCTGACCAATGGGAATCTAGCTTGAGCTGATACTAAATGCCTAAATGACCTTGAATAAATGGCCTCTCAAGGATGGGCCTCTATGTCTTCCTCTGCGACAATAACAGAACCACCTATATTATTAGTTTTCCATTGCTGTGAATAACAAATCGCCACAAATGTAAATGCCTTAAACAATACAGATGTATTCTCTTACAGTTCTAGAGGTCAGAAGTCTGAAATGAGTCTCACTGAGTGAAAAGAAAGTCCTATAGGGAGGCCTTCAGGAGAATCCATTTCTTTGCATTTTTCAGTCTGTAGACGCCACACACACACCTTGGCTCTCAGCCCCCCTCCTTTACCTTCAAAGTCAGCAATGGGGTGCTCAGTCCTTATCATGTTACATCCCCCTGACCTCCTTGCTGGCCTCATTCTTCTGCTTGAAAGGACCCTTGTGATTACATTAGGCTCACCTGGATAATCTCATTGTAGGGTCAGATGATGATCAACCTTAATTCCCCTTTGCCCTGTAACTTCACAAACTCACAGGTTCCCAGGATCCGAATGTGGACCTCTTTGGGGGCTATTATTCTGCCAACCACACCATCGTACCTCTTTTTCTAAAATCATCACAATACTTGGGAAATACATGAGCTAGTAAAAGTGTACAATGATCTTAACTATCATCTCAATAAAGCCACAAAAATTTATTGAGCATTTATTATGTGTCAGACCCTATGTTAGATAGTAGGGGTGTGGATATGATTAGACTGACAATATCTCTGATGTTACATTCCAGTAGGGGTGGACAATCAATTGATATATAGATCAGTAGACTGGTAGATCAGTAAATCAACAGATTTAGAATAAATCCATCATTAGATTCTAGATATTATTAGAAGAATAACATCAGCTGGTGGTAATGAGCATGCTACAGTGAGAAGTGAAATAGTGTGACTGGATGATTATTTTCCAGTGAGTGATCAAGAAAACTTTCTTGGATAGGGTGACATCTAGACTGAGATCAGAATGGTAGGAAATGCCCCCTAATGGAAGGATCTGATGCAGAAACAGGTTTGTAAAGAGCCCAAAGCCAGGAACCGAAAGAGCTGTAGGGGCCTGTGGCATTTCATCCACGAAACACAATGGGCACAGAGTGTATGACCTTCAGACTTTTTAAGCACCAAAGAAATATTTGAAATCTTAAAAAAAAAAAAGTTGGTTCCAAAATACCAAAAGAAAACCACAAAATTGAGTTGAATAAATACTTAATCAACATAGTCATATTTCATTGATTGTTAAATGCAGTATTCATAAAGTATCCATTACACTGTAAACAATTTGTAGGTTAAATTTTTTCACTCCCGTCAAATTTTCAAGTATGGGCAGAGTTCTAAGAAATCAATCATAAATTAGGGTGGTCTAAAAGTGCTACATTCAATATGTCAACAAACTTGAAAAACTCGGCAGCGGCCAGAGGACTGGAAAAAGTCAGTTTTCATTCCAATCCCAAAGAAGGGCAATGCCAAAGAATATTCAAACTGCCATATAACTGTGTTCATTTCACATGTTATCAAGGTTATACTTAAAATCCTTCAAGCTAGGCTTCAACAGTACATAAACTGAGAACTTCCAGATGCACAAGCTGGATTTAGAAAAGGCAGACGTCAAATTGCCAACATCCACTGGATCATGGAGAAAGAAAGGCAATTCCAGAAAAATAGCTACTTCTGCTTCATTGACTATGCTAAAGTCTTTGACTGTGTGGATCACAACAAACTGTGGAAAAATTTTTAAGAGATGGGAATACCAGACCACTTACCTGTCTTCTGAGAAACTTGTATGCAGGTCAAGAAGCTGTTGTTAGAACCGGACATGGAACAATGAACTGGTTCTAAATTGGGGAAGGAGTACATCAAAACTGTATATTGTTACCCTGCTTATTTAACTTATGTGTAGAGTACATTATGCAAAATACTGGCCTGCATGAAATATAAGATTCCCAGGAGAAATATCAACAACCTCAGATTTGCAGATGATACCACTCTAATAGCATAAAGTGAAGAGGAACTAAAGAGCCTTTTGATAAAAGTGAAAGAAGAGAGCGATAAAGCTGGCTTAAAACTCATGGTCCAGAAGACTAAGATCATAGCAGCTGGTTCCATCACTTCACGGCAAATAGAAGGGGGAAAAGTGGAAGCAGTAACATTTTATTTTCTTGGGCTCCAAAATCAACTGTGGACGGTGACTATAGCCATAAAATTAAAAGATGGTTGCTCCTTGGAAGGAAAGGTATGACAAACCTAGACAGCATATTAAAAAGTAACCTCTGAAAAAAAAAAAGTAACCTCTGCCACTCTGCCAACAAAGGTCCATATAGTCAAAGCCATGTTTTTTCCAGTAGTCATGTACAGATGTGAGAGTTGGGCCACAAAGAAGGCTGAGCGCCAAAGAATTGATGCTTTTGAACTGTGGTGTTGGAGGAGATTCTTGAGCGTCCCTTGGACGGCAAGGAGATCCAACCAGTCCATCCTAAAGGAAATGAGTCCTGAATATTCATTGGAAGGACTGATGTTGAAGCTGAAACTCCCAATACTTTGGCCACCTGATGCAAAAAGCTGACTCATTGGGAAAGACCCTGATGGTGGGAAAGACTGAAGGCAAAAGGAGAAGGGTGAGATGGTTAGGTAGCATCACTGATTCAATGGACCTGAATCTGAGCAACCCCAGGAGCTAGTGGAGGACAGAGGATCCTGGCGTGCTGTAGTCCATGAGGTGGCAAAGTCGGACATGACTTAGCAACGAAACATAAAAAACAATCATATCCAAAGGATTGTAAACAAATGAAAAAGCCTTTAAAAATAAGTTACAACAAAAGAAAAGATGTATTTAATGTGGCATGTGGGAGCCTTTAAAGTTAGTTGATAAGATGTGAGGATAAGACAGTCCTCCGTCGTGTCTGACTCTGCGACCCCATGGACTGTGGCCCACCACGCTCCCCTGTCCGTGGGATTCTCCAGGCAAGAATACTGGAGTGGGTAGTCATTCCCTTCTCTTGGGGGATCTTTCCCTACCCAGGGATCAAACCCAGGTCCCCTGCGTTGCAGGCAACTTCTTTACCATCTGAGCCACCACGGAAGCCCTCCCGAAACGTGTAGTTCTTAGGGTCTACAAAAGTCTTCACTGGATCCTGGGGGGTAGGCAGCCTTGCCACACAGCACAAGTGGAGACAGCCTCTACGGGCAGCTAAATCCATAATCTTTCTCCAATTACCTCCTCAGAAATGACTCAACTTTTACCCACGCCCCTTAGTCGGGGTGGGGCTCAAAGCAAGCTCCTGGAGACCAAAACTAACCAGTGTCAGCGGCGGAAGCTTCTCCAAGATCAAACAGTAATCACTGACAGATGCGAAAGCAAGATGCGTCTAACAGGACCCGGTGTGGGTCCATGCTGCGGGCCCGGGGTCTTTATGGCTGGGCAGACACAGGTGTGGACAGCGGTGGGGGGTGTTGATCCAGGAAGTGTGCGAATGAACTCGGGGAGGGGGGCACTCAAGATAATGTAAAAGGCGAAAACATGGACTTAGGACAATCTCCAGGCTGTCTGGATGAGGTATAATGATATGGACACCGTGGAGCCTGCAGTCCTGGCAAGGCAGGGCAAACACGGAGCATGTGAAAGGCATTACGGAGCAAAACCCTTCGGAGAGCCAAATAACGAAGTACAGGAGGGAGGCGCCCAGCAACGGAATAGGCCAGGGGGGAGAGCCGGGGAGGAGCGTGCTGATGCGGGAGGCCTTTCCGGGGGCCCTTTTCAGACCGGCTGCAGACTGGGGACAGACGGGTACCTGGGCAGGACAGGAAAATGTGCCGAAAATGTTCTTAATTCAAAGTATGCTATTTCCCGGCCCCGTGAATTCTTAACTTTACGCTCATTTACTGCATAAATAACCTTGTGACATCAGTGGGAATTACCTCAATCTGCACTTTCCACTCTCGCAATCTTGTCCAAGTATATATAAATTAGGTACAATGAGGGACTTCCCTGGCGGCCCAGTGGTTAGGACTTGGTGCTTTCACTGCCATAGGCCAAGCTTTGATCCCCAGTCAGGGAACTAAGATCCTGCAAGCTGAGGGGAGTGACAGGAAAAAAACATCATACAGTTAAAATCATAGCTAAAACATATTGTTTTTTTTTTTATTAGTGTTCTATCATGAACATTTTTCTGTATTGTAATAGGCTTAGTATTTATCATTAATATTTCTTAATGGTTATATAATTTTCTAAGAAATAGGTGTACCAAAATTTTATTCAGCCTTCCCCTACCATTTGTTGCCCTTACGGACTGTATCAAATTCTTGGTTATTGGAGGTAATTTTAACATCTTTTTAAATATTTTTAAATTTTTATACAGTTCTTAAAGGTTACTTTCCATTTACAGTTATTACAAAATATAGGCTAAACTCTCTGTGTTGTGTATAAGACAGCTCACATCCAATAGTTTGAACCTCCTACTCCCTACCCCTATATTGGCCCCACCCCACCACTGGTAACCACTAGTTACCTTAACATCTATCTTAATGCATGTGGTTTTCCCCTCCTTTTCTGTTAACATAATTTTCCAAACATGGGTGAATGGAAAGTGACAAACTGCTTTTCAAAAGAATTAAACAAAAGTATGCCCCTGCCAACAGAAAACAAGAACATATAAAACATTACCAGTTTGGGACTTTATTCTCAATTCTGGTGTTCAACATCAGAAAAACTTCACTTCACTTCAGTTCAGTTCAGTTCAGTCGCTCGCTCAGTCGTGTCCGACTCTTTGCGACCCCATGAATCGCAGCGCGCCAGGCCTCCCTGTCCATCACCAACTCCCGGAGTTTACTCAAACTCATGCCCATTGAGTCGGTGATGCCATCCAAACACCTCATCCTCTGTTGCCCCCTTCTCCTCCTGCCCCCAATCCCTCACAGCATCAGGGTCTTTTCCAATGAGTCAACTCTTGGCATGAGGTGGCCAAAGTATTGGAGTTTCAGCTTCAGCATCAGTCCTTCCAATGAACACCCAGGACTGATCTCCTTCAGGATGGACTGGTTGGATCTCCTTGCAGTCCAGGGGACTCTCAAGAGTCTTCTCCAACACCACAGTTCAAAAGCATCAATTTTTCGGTGCTCAGCTTTCTTCACAGTCCAACTCTCACATCCATACACGACCACTGGAAAAACCATAGCCTTGACCAGACAGACATTTGTTGGCAAAGTAATGTCTCTGCTTTTTAATATGCTATCTAGGTTGGTCATAACTTTCCTTCCAAGGAGTAAGTGTCTTTTAATTTCATGGCTGCAGTCACCATCCACAGTGATTTTGGAGCCCCAAAAAATGAAGTCTGTCACTGTTTCCACTGTCTCCCCATCTATTTGCCATGAAGTGATGGGACCAGATGCCATGATCTTAGTTTTCTGAATGTTAAGCTTTAAGCCAACTTTTTCACTCTCCTCTTTCACTTTCATCAAGAGGCTTTTTAGTTCCTCTTCACTCCCTGCCATAAGGGTGGTGTCATCTGCATATCTGAAGTTATTAATATTTCTCCCGGCAATCTTGATTCCAGCTTGTGCTTCTT